GCCCTCAACAGTGCGAGAAGTCGATGTCTCAAGGACAGCTTTATACAATCCAGATACGTGTTCAACCCTCTGACTCTTCGTCTAACGATCCCACCCCAAGGCTCTCTGACACCACCCGTCCATCAATCAATTTATCTATCATGCAGCACACGAGCCCGAGTCCACGCGCGGAAGGTCAGGAGAGGAACGGAAAGCAGGAAAGAAAGAAGCATGTTGAGACTCTCTATGCCATGCCGTGCATGGGACGTACGTGCGAGGGCCAGATGAGATGGAGATAGATGGAGATAGTGCCGCGAGAACAAAAGATCGATCTCGTGGCCATGAGATCGTCCTCTGGATCTTCCCCGAAGAACATTGCTGCCTTGCTTGCTGGCCTCCTTGTATGGCTCCCATCCGCCGTTTGGTTTTAGACCTGGAGACAATCTGCCTGTTATCTGCGGAGATGGAAACGGCGAGGACATCTCCACCATGGCATGCTTTGCTGGAGCAGGCATGGTCTCGGGTTCCGTCACCGCCGTCTGCTTTGAGTATGTGTTTTCGTGTCCGGGAACCTTTTGAGATTACCCAAATTCCGACCTTTTTACCAGTCCCGGTCGAACTCATCGAGAATGCCACGCAAAAACCGGTCCTCATGGCCTCTCAAGCTGATCACAACTCGGCACCTCCAACGCCAGCCGGCCGCAAGACTCATCAAGCTGCTCGAGGACACCTCGTCTGACGCATCTTCTGGTCTCGATAGCCCTTGTTCGCCGTGTCGTCTTCGCCTCCCCGCAAGGCCTGTCCGAGACGGTCGGTAGTAGCCCGTCGTTGGGCTCGCGCCGGGCCATGGGGCGCGGTGGTGGGAGTGAGAGCGGCTGTGGAGTTTCTAGTTGCTCTTGCCTTAGAGATGGACACGACGTCGTGGGGCCGGGCCGGAGACGCCGAGAGGGATCCAGAAAATCGCCAGGCGTTGCGGCGAGACCACCGGATGAGCATTCGAGACAGAAAGGAAACGGTGCTCACTATGTAAAATAGACTGTGAGGTGTGAGCCCATTGGGACTCCTCAGGGCGCCAGCGAAGAGAGTAGAATCGTGCCAAGGGTTCAATGAGCCTGAAGGTCGTCCTCGGGGTGGTCTTGGTGCTGATCCTGGAGGTGGCCATCGGAGTGGTCTTGAAGGTGATCCTGCATCCTTAAGATACCCCGATTGCCTGGGCCCGAAGAGGAAGCCCTGGCACAATACGACGTCGACGACGTGCTCTACTCCAACGAAGTCAATACCAGAGGCTCAAGGGTGATTAATGGACGATGGTGAGGCTCTCTGCATTCTCGGCGTACACAACCGGGAATGATTGTACACATTTGACCTGGAAAGCCCATATGAACCTCGATTGCCACACAATTAAAAGCGCGCTCGAACGGCAAGCATGCGGAGGCTGGACCATCGAAACACCCGCGTGGCCATCTTGTTTCCCTGGAGGATGCGAGGACCAATTTGACGCCTTCAAATAAAAAACGAACGTGGTCTGCCTATGGAGTCCCCTATATCCTATAGGAGACTGTACCTGTGCGCCGACACTGTGCCCCAAAATGCATACTCGGTTATCCTGTAAGGCGGCCCTGGAAAGGTATACTGATGGGAACAAGAGCCCTAGATCAAGGCCCGACAAGCCCACGATGGTCCCCGCGATACGAATACGTTTGTCCCATCTTGAAAGGCTGGTTTATGGTTGCGGGACAGGGCAGACAGCGTCTGTGGCAAATGTGACATGTTAGGTCTGCTCGAACACTCTAGCGAGCACTCCAGACAACGGTTTCGACAACGTAACATTGCAACATGGAACCAGTCAGAGATATCACAGAGTCTCATGGGCGAGGAGGGTTCCCGAAGCCGAGGGAGCAGTGCCTCAGAGGCAGTAGAAGTTGATGCAGATCAGCCGGAATCAGAGTGTGTATTTCAGAGCCTTATCCTTGCCGGTCTGCGTCTCGACGTGCTTGAATATCTGTCTCAGCTCCTCCTCACTGACGCACCGCATATCTCGCACCTGTTTCTCAGGTCCAGTCACAAGGACAGTCTGCCAGAGCCAGCAATATTTTCATACCCCGCGACCGTGACTCTGCCTGGGGAGGCAACGGACAAAGAACTCTGGAGACCGTTTATGTTGTTCATAACACTGCCACGCATCGACTTCTGGTTGTCTACATAAGAGCCTGCATCGTCTAGGGAGATGTGGGACAGGGACAGAGTGTTGAAGATATAAAAACTCAACAAGGCTTAAATCAAGGAGAGATATTGGATCGATCATGCATACATGCATGTATGTAGCATAACCATGCAAAGGGACAAAATTCACTTACTCTGGTGCGAGAGGAGGAGCGTACATAGAATGACATGACATGATATGGCCATCCAAGAGCCTCAGATTGTAGTGCAATATCTGCTCGTCGTGGGCCAGTCTCTGCAAGCGACACAGAAGTTTGTCCGTGCCTGGAGTGTCCACGGTTAGCCGTCGCGCGCGTCATGTGTATAACTCGGAGCTTGGTGCCCACGGACCTAATAACAAAAGCAATAAGAAAGCTACGAGATTCCACCGTTCTTCCAAGTAAAAAGCTGGCGCGAGAGAGAGGGGAAACGAGGGACTATTCCGGGCGAACGTCCTGAGGCGTAGTATAGAAAATCCGCAATGGGCTAATTGACGTCGTATGATGTGTATTTGCCGTCTCCATCTTGGAAGTCCACCGCAAGCGAAGTTGGCAGCTTGCTCCTGCTTGGAGGAACAAGGCGAGGAGTGTCAGTAAGAAGAACATAGCAGCGGCATGGTTGATCCAGCACAGAAGCGTAGGAAGGCCGGGCTTGTGGCGGAAACGGCAGCGCCGCCTCCCAGAAATGGAGCTCATCAGCGAATCTGAGCGTCGTCGAAACCCGCTCGGTCGCCTGAGAGAGTCTGTTCGCTCAGTTCCCAATTGCTTCTTTACTTCCTCGTCAACGGGACCTGCGCACATGTTGTGCGAGATAGACTGTTCTGAAGCGAGCTGTGCCTCGAGAGAATGGGAACCGAAAGCGTAGAGGGCGATGAGCGATTTAGCTGCGAGAGGGTTTGGTCGGATCTCTTCCAGGCATAGTTTGAACGTCTGCTCCAACCGTTTTGCCTGGACGTCGATTGCTGCCGCAGAGGCAGCTAATTTGCGCCCCTTGCAGGATGCGAGCTCATTCCTCTCTTCAAGGGCGCTGGGACAACAATGGTGATGCCATCTGGATCGTTCGAGAGCTTCTCCTGTATCGCCTTCAAGAGCGCACGTCCCCGTCCGCTCAACATCGATGTATAGAGCAAAGCAGAGCAAAGCAAAAGCAGATGAAATCGGACTCCTCCGCAACGCACCCACGCGCTTGGTGGGCGTGTGCATCATGGCCTCCTGCATCTCGGGCGGGATGGCTGCCTAGGGGATCACGTCCTCCGTCGCAGCTGAGACGACGGTGCCCTTTTCTTCGAGATGTGCTGGCGGTGGCTATACTGGCCAGGGTCAAGGAGATTGAAGCCATAGCTTGTCCTAAAGCAGGAGAGGCGTTGGTGAAAGGATAATTTGTTCAGGCGCTGATATGTCTCTGGAGTTTTGTGGAGTCGGGCGCGAGACATCGCGCGGCAGATTCAACCAAGCCAGAATGTCTTCCATCCCCCGGGAGGTCGGAGCAGAGCACTCTTCACAAATCCCCAGGCCATGTCAAAAGCCTTTCCACCGTAGAAATCTGAGGGCGAGATAGTCTTTCTCAGGATGTACAGTCTCCACTCGAACTCGACGTCGTCAAGCTGCTCGGGGTCAGTGACTTCAGGCTTGCTGCCAGTGTCATGCGCGGACGCCAGGACAACGAATAATTGCAGATGATGGGCTCCTGCCACAGGGCGGCGGGACCGAGTACAGTCGAGTCTTGCGGGCTCAATGTAACTGTGCAAACACAACGACCTTTGCTCGCTCACTACTTCTCGGCGCTCAATGTTCTCTCGCTGCTCTCTCATCGCAAGACACCTCTTCAAGAAGTCGACATCAAACTCATTCCATCTCCGCCAAACGCTTCAAAAGGTCCGCCTAGCGGAAGAGTTTGCAAAGGCTGTGCATGTGCTGAGTACTCATACTCGGTCGAGGATCCGAGGTCATTTGTGTCGTCCCAGAGGAGTCCTGGAACACGAGATGTGCTGCAATTGGAGTCTGTGAATTCAACTTGGTCGTTCCGATGGTCATCCTCACCGAGAGTGTTGCCAGTTGGCGAAACGGCCTCCCCCAAGAGTCCACGACTCGGTGCCATGAGTATGTTAGAGGAACTGTTGGCGCAGTAAATATGGCATGGATACAAATGGGAGAGACCAGTAGCCCTTGGCCCCATCTCAGGTCTTGTACACAAGTCCAAAAGGATGCAGAGCCAAAAGTCTGAATTCTAAGGCCTAAGGATCATTGCTGGATTGAGATTTGAGGTTGTGTCGAGGCTGCCCTTCCATGAACCGTGGGCAACAACTTCGGAGAAAAATTTCAAGTTCATCAGAGCAAGTCGGCGCTTTTTCTGAGACTGTAACGGCGTCCTCCAGTGCATACACCCACGCTGCGACATAGCGTATCCTGTCCTTGATATAGCATTCTGAGCGGCGGCTCAACGAATCGCTGCCATTCGGCGCCGGATGAGGCTGGACAGCTCTAGAAACCGAGCGACCTTTTATGCCTCACAGCTCGTAAAGCTTGTTGAGCTCGCTTCGAGGTGTGGAGGTGTGGAAGGGACGGCGAGGACACACAGTCTGTCCCCAAAAGCGATAGTTCCCACGTCGCTCTGGCTTCCCTCCGGCTATTCTCCTCGGCCGTCTTCTGTCCCATCGTCCCCTTTGCCATCTGACCACCCACGAACCCCTTCAACATGGTCCAGTGGTGAGTGTACCGGGCACCGGTGAAACTTTTGATACAAAGCGAGTTTTCCAGCATGGGTGTGGATTTTGCTCATCCAAAGACTTTCTGCCTGCATTTCGTGTCATCACGTCTCTCTGTTGTCGCTATACGTGTATAAGAGGACGGTAGACGACCCCAGTTGGATTGTTGGCTAACGGCCCCCTAGCACGGAGCCCATTTCGGCGGGGACGATGGCCCCTAATAATCGGGGAATATCGCTCCCTCCGCGCCTAGCGTCCGTTAATCCTCCCCGTGCCAATGCCCTACAATTGATGAATTCGCTCATGCGCGACGCGATCACAAACGACAACGAAACTGAAATCGCTCTCCTTGTGAATGTGGTGATAATCGGGCACTTCTGCGCAGATAGTTGCTCATTTGGAACCTCAACCCGCAGCCGCAGGTCGGAGGATCTCGTGTTTCTAGCCGGCGGATGACGACTCTAAGTCACTGCTGAGAGCAGCGTCACCGATATAGAGTAGAGTCACAAAGTCGAGGCTGAGTGAAGAAAAGACAAGAGGAGGAGGAAGGTAGCCCAGCTCCGCAGACAGAAAACAAATTGGTCATTCCGTCTTCTCAATAGGTCGCGAAATGCGAGCTCCAAGTGGTCGACAGCTGGCTCTCGCATCAGCATCTGTCCTCATGCCAAAAGCGAGCTCCTTACCCTGTGATGAGGACGGCTCGTTGTCGATAGATACACCAGAGATCTTGCTTCGAAGGGTCAGCGGTGAACGGAGCCCGCGTCTTGACAAAGTCGACGTTCCCACGCGTCGAAATTTCGGAGCGGCTGTTGGTCGCCGCTGAACTGCTGTGACATGCCTGCCTGCTCGGGGTTTCGCACCAGGACTTTGCGTTCCGGACGGACTGAGCAGGGTGAAGCTCGCGAGTTGAATCAACTCGCTGCTTATCAGAACGGACCTCGCCCACATCGTGATTAACCGAGTCCTCGAGAATCGCAATCGTCTCTGATGTATCAGCAGGAACCTTCCATGCGACGCATCCTGATTTGGACATGCCTGGGAGGCTGGATTAATACCAAGACCACCTCCCATTTTGAAGATCCGTCACAAAGCTCGACATTTGCCCGCATACTGCTTTGCGTACAGATGCAGGCTATTTCGATCCCGGTAAACGCTGGGCGTGTTCCGGTTCAATTCGGACACCAGATGAGTTCAAGACGAAAGCAAGCTCCGTGTAGGCGCCATTGTGTGGTCACCAGGCATGGGGAAATTGACAAAGTCAGCCAGAAAGTTGCACTCCGACAGTGAAAATCGACTGGGAGAGAGACCCAAGAAAAAGCTGCTCCGACGTCGTCTCGCCGGGGAGGCTAAACTGGACATACCTGAACACCCCTCTCATCTCTAGCATGCAACAGACGGCATATTCTTCATCCTGATATCATCTTGCAAGGCGAAATAGACGATTCTGGTGCGTGTCTAAATCTACTCAAGCGGAGCAGGGTTATCCCGTTAGCCTTGTATCAACAGTCAAACATTACCTGTCGGCTTCTTCCTCGACAGTGGTCACGCTGTCGAAGCCGGACAGCCGACAAATTGGAGTTGAGGTCAGGACTTGTGAGACGAGTGTCGACTTCCCGTCTTTGATACATCCAAACGGTCAACAAGATTCGGGCCTTTTCCACGATCGATAAGAAAGACCCCAGTCTCTTGATCGGTGACTTCTTCCATCATGACCCACACCAGTCCACGAGTCGACCGGTTCATACTGTCGACCACGCCTTTCGCCTTCTACGTTGTCCACCTGGGAATCAAGATCGGGTACCAGTTCACCGTCCCATGTTTGCCCTCATCGGCCGGATGCTTTTCGTCATGGGTCCAATCGGGATGTGAGCCCAGCTCCAGTCTCACCTCATCACGCTGGAACAGTCGCCCACAAACCAAGCCCAGCGCCAGTCCTTGAATACTTGCAAAAGTGGTATTGGACATGAACCCGCTGCTTATACACAACTGAATCTGCAGATCTGGGACCATGGTAGAGACTCGTTGGGCCACATATTGGCCGACTTCCAATGCCGAGAGACATTTGGTGCAATTTGTTGCGTTTGTTGCAAGGATGGAGTTGACTTTGCTTATCGCATTGGCCACAATTGCACTCCCGTAGGTGACCGAGAAGAGGGGAGTTGGATAGAAGACGGGATCTTCACTTCAACATAGTTTATAGGTGAAAGGCGGTTCCAGCAAGTTAATAGTCTCATCTATTTTGACCTCGTGGTCTGTTTACCGGTAAATTATATCATAGTGGCCCCGTTAATCAGGCTGAAAGGAAACATCCGAATGGTTGCCACCGTGATGACTGTTCTTTGTCGTCCAGGTGCGGCGGTCGGGTGCCATGTAGTCTGTACCATGCAAAGTGCGTTGCTTCAAGCCCTGACAATTGTAATGGAGCCACCTCTTTACTTCGTAGTTGTCGTCCAGGAAAACCCGCAAACAAGCATTGACTATGGCGATGATGATCCTACGGTCGACGGGATTGTATGCAGCAGCAGTCTCTCACAAGATTGGTGCAAGGAGGTGAGGAGATGGCTGGAGAGTGGAAATGGATATCTCTATTTGAGGCTCGTGGTCATTCACACGTTTTCCAGCCAGAAACTCCAAACAAGGATGATATTATCATCCATTTGCAGCTGCCAGGGCCTTCCTCCTTCTCGGATCCGATGCGGCTGCGGCGTCTGAGGCGGCAGTCATGGTGTTCCCGTCACGCAGATCAGCGACGGCCAGTAAGTTCACCAATGCTTGTCCACCACGCCTGATCCTACCTGCAGTCCTTACTAACCATTCGTAGGGGGCACACGGCGAGGCAGCCGGATCACCAAGGTTGGTTCGGTGGGGAGCAGGGAGGCAGGGAGGGGACAATGTTTGTCGATGGTCCGATCGTCTGCGTGCTTGATCAACGACACTGAATTCACCTTGATCGAGGAGCATGTAGCGCAAGACGACTTTCAGCAGCTGCTTCCTTTAGGTGGCCATGGGGGTGATCATACATATGGTCCTGAGCGCCGTCCTGGGGATTGTCTGCTGGGAACCAGGAACGTCACCACACCGTCCACAAAGTGTAGTATGAGTATTGTAGCCAAACAGGTAGGTTCTGCAGGTAATCAGAGAGAACTGTGCTCGCCTGATCGCGGACAATAACTGCCCTGCCCACTGGGTCTTACCACCCCGACTTTGACCACGAGTCTGACCCGAGTCTGTGATGGCGCAAATCCACCTTTTCTGCCCAACGCCGGTAAGGCCATCAAGGGTGAGGATTGCCTCGAGGAGAGAGCTTTGAGGAGAGAAGATCATCTCTAGGGCCACCTGTAGAGTAGCCTTTAGAGCCATCTCAAGGATATAGGATCACCTCCGAAGCCGTCGGGTCACCTCCAGAGGCGCCTCGACAGGGTCTGTGTTGCCACGATTCTACCTTTTCTTGTCCAACGCTAGCAGGCCTCCAAGGGCCAAAGGAGAGGGAGGAGGTAGAGATTGATCGGAGGAATCGAGAAGGTATCCGACTGACCAGACGCGATTTCAGAGTCCTGCAATCCATCAGTTTCACAGTTCCACATCTTGGAATAGAGGCTATTCACAGATAATTTGAACATCACAGAACGATGGCATTGAGGCCGTTTGACGAACAGGTTGATGGCGTTGAGGTGAACTTGTTGGAAGTCCAGTTCTTGGGCGGCGGCATGGGAAGCGTCATTGTCAGTGCGCGGAGGAATCAGGACCCGAATAATCCCCCGAAAATCCCCTAAAAACCCCAAAGTCACGTCATCTGTCTTTATCACAAGCGTGTCTTTCCGTTCACGTTTGCCGGTAAAACCATCTCAGCTCGCGCTTCGCTAGATTATGCTTTGCGGCACCAAGATGAGAAAAGTCTACCAGCGTCTTTCCCTTGTTTCTGATCTTCCTTTCCTATCGTCATCTCGTTCGTGGCAATCGGCGTCTATGTTATCCCGACTGCAGGCAGGTCCCCGAACTGGATCCTGCGGTACGACTCGGGCACAATGGCGTTGGAGACCTTCATCAAAGCCACCTCGTCTAGCTGTGTTCGGTCTCGCCCTTGACCTGGATGTCCTTCGCCATACACTGGCACTGACATTGGTACTGGCTCGGGTGGCACTGGTTCTGGTACTGGTATTTTCACGGGCCTTGAGATCGGCACGGACCCTCGCTCTGGCACGGGCATGGGCCCTGGTTCTGGTTCTGACTCTGGCTCTGGCTCTAGATTTGGCGCGGGCCCTGGCACGGACCCTCATTCTGGTATTGGTATTTGCACAGGCCTTTGTATTTGCATGGGCGCTCGCTCTGGCACTGGTATTGGTATTGGCACGGACCATCACCCTGGCACGGACACGGGCTCTGGTTCTGGCTCTAGCTCTGGCAGGGACCTTTGGTCTGGCCCTGGCACTGGTATTAGCACTAGCATTGGTATTGGCACGGGCCCTGATTTTGGCACGGACCATCACTCTGGCATGGACACGGGCCCTTGGTCTGGCCGTCGCTCTGGTATTTGGTGTTCACACGGACCCTCGCTCTGGCCCTGGCACCCGCATCAGCACGGGCACGGACCCTGGCTCTGGTACAGCAAGCCACCGTCAGCGACGGGGTGGCTTTGGTGAAGGTCTACGACTCCATTGTGTCCGAGTCGTACAGCAGGATCAAGTTCCGGGACTTGCGTGCTGTCGAGAGCCAGGAGGGAATGCTGCTCTCGTAGATGGTGTGGTGGAATCACAGCAACGACGTCCCGGTGACTACTGCGATGTCGTGGTGGAAGCTGTCCAAACACACCGACGGGCAGCAGTGCATATACGTGATCGAGAGCATTCATGGCCGGGAAGATGGGGCGGAGGCAATGGCGCACCTCATCTCGCAGCTGATGATGTCCAGAAGGCATTCAGCTTCTTCCGATCGCGTATTCTCTGTTCCATGTTTCCAAATACTCTTCTCCCCAGCCGGGTCTGCTCAGACGTGTCCCATTCTTGTTCGTCCCGTCTTCCCTTCCACCAGGTGAGTGAATCAGTGGAAGCCTCCCAGAGCCGCCGCCTTCAGAAGGGAGAGGTAAATGCCTTTTTTCTTGGAGGGCCTTGCTTTGGCTGTGGCCGCTGTACTGTACCTTTGCTGCAGGAGACGCATTCGACACCATAACAGGCCCAAGCAGGGCGACAATGTCGTAGTCGAGTCCACCAAGTTGGCGGCCAACCTCCTCGCATTCAGGCCAGCCGATCACCCCGAAAAGCTCAACGAAGCCCCGGTCGCGGCATTATGGCCCAAAGAACCTGTCCCCATGGTCGCTGACACCAAAGACCAGATGTTCATGTCAATTTACGACGGTATCCTACTGCTGTGGCGCTGGTGCTCATTGCCAAAATCGGGCTGGTCACTGGGGCGTAGAAACTCGACCGCCAGCACTGTGGTGACGAGATCGACCTGGTCAGCAAGCTGACCACTTTCTTGATTGAATACAACGGCCATGACGACGGCCTTCACCATCGTCTTCGTTACCATCATATCGACCCTGGTGCAGCGGTACCCGCTGTGGAACGCGCAGACGGGAACGTTCGTCTCGGACCTCGAGCAGCTCCAAAGCAGCATAAGTCTCCCCTCGGGATCCTAGACCGTCAGGAGGAGGTCGGGTGTGGTGAGACCAAGCGTGGCCACGATACGGCGGTACCCCCATGTGCCTGACTCCACGGCTTTTCGTGCAATCAGGTCGGCGTGTACCTTGATCGCTGAGAATTCTTCCGAATGGCAAAGACCATCGAGACTGGTGGCGATGGTTTGACTTGACACTAGGGCGGATTCGCGATATGGCGAAAAGGTAAAAGCCGACCAAGAAAGTCATCGTTGCAGGGAGGTGGACGAAGCTGTACACCCGGTTGATCAACCGCATCGTGTTGGGGGCATTGGAGGAAGCATTGCAGAATGGGCAGCTCCCAACGCCGGTCTGCCTTCTCACTCCTCACCGTCCCCCAAAGTGAAAAAGAGTCTGCATGACGAGGAAATGGTCGAGACCTCGATAGACGGGCCGAAGAACACAAGCTCTGTGCGCACCAAAGAGGTATAACGGTGAGCGTAGGGCAGGCACTTTGATACGCCTCAGATGTAGTCAGAAGTGGTGATCAACGAAGGTAGCCATCGACAAACTGAACACTGACTCTCTCTTCCTTTCCCAGATTCTATCTTCAAGTGCCTCTTCATCTCGTTTCCATTTCCCGAGACAAATCCCTTCAAATCCACAGAATCTCCCCTTTGCATCGACACCGCCTTCCATGGTCGTCCAATTCAAAAGTACGGCATGGTTCCATCCCAAGCGTCGATCGGATATGGAAAGCTCACTGTGTAGCCATTGGGGGTGAACTTGCCGATCCAGCTGTGGATCATGACCACGCCTCTCCAGCCGCCTCTTCCAACTTTCCCTCCCAAGATTCGGCCAATGCATCCCTGTTTCTCCTCTAGAGGTAATTTCAGTCCGACGCCCAGCCCGACGTTAATGAGAAGCATCAAGCCCAAGCTGTTGACAAAACTCGGGTGAAGGTTCGGGTGGCGGAATTGTCGTCCCTTGTGCATTCATTCCGAGAAACACGCCACGGTTGCGATGACCGTGCCCACAATCTGTTGACAGCCATGCCAGCGACTCTTCATAATACCCAAAACCATGCCGTAAGGAAAGATCAGACCGAAGCAGACGATCATAAGCAGGATATGACGCCGTAGTCGAGCGTCGAAGGCATCGGGCGAGACGGCTTCTGCCTTGGGGGTTTTATCCGTGTGGCCGCCATGGGCAGAGACGGGGGCTAGCGATGAAGAGGAGAGGGACAGGTAGAGAAGAAGGGTTGATTGTAAACTCCGTCGCAAGGGGCTGCAAATGTCATCGGCGCCTGGATTACGCCTGGATGCTTGAGCCGTCGTCCTCGGATTCGTGGGAGGCGTTACCCATCGCGAATTGCTGCAGCCTGATAGTATTTCCATCTTTTTCCTCGAGTCCGGCTGTAAGTGCCAGGTTCCCCCAAAGGCTGATGGTTGTTCGACTCCGTCCTTGACGGCTCCGGTTGCCTTTGCTTGTTCGTCACCGACGCATTTGAGGCGTCCGCCGAGTCTCGGCCACGGAGCTGCTCGTCACAGCACCGTCCGCCATCTCAGAGTCCCATCCAGGATTAACCCTGTTTTTTTGGCCTTTTTTTGTTGATTGTGAGAATTATTTCCCGTGATATTGCTCCTTCTGATCTTGGGAAGGTATCGCCGATTAGTAGACATGGTTCCTCACTTGGTTGACCCGCCTGGACCAGGACCTGGACCTAGGAAAGAGGAGATAATCCCCTTGGTGTCTGATGCTCATCCACTCTTTGAAAACCCCTGCAGACCTTCAGACATCGATTGGTACATGAAGAGTCGGTTGCATTTGATCAGAAAAGATTTGTTTGCGGTAAGAGGCCTTCATTCGTTGTTGTGTTCCTTCCATCCATGGAAATGCTGTAAATAGAGACACACGTACAACTCTCCCTGCACACTTGAAACTCACACTCGCCAAACTGAACGACTCCCCCCGTACACCCACTCACCCAACCCCCAAGTGCTATCTTCCGTCTCATCCATCCTTTCTCCTTTTCGCACGAGTCTGCAGTGTCCTTTGTGCGTGTATGGGCTGGCAGTCGAGGCAGATGGATGTCGAAGTGTTGTCTCATTGACCCAGTGCCGGATTCTGCTGTTACCCCTTCCCTTGCTCGCAACAACGCCGTACCACCCGCACGATAGATCGAAGCCCTTCTTCTTTGCATGCTCTTGCCTATCTTCGTCACGAGTAGCCATGATGTGGTCGATATATACGTATGTCTGTCGATGAGAGATGGATGTGGATAGGAAGATACCGTCTCTGTTGAGTACCGCAATCGTCCCTGGTTTTCAAGACATGTCGGATGCACAGAACAGTTGAGCATCTCGGTCCCTGCAACCAGAGCTAGAGACCGCTGCGGCTTTGCAATCGTCAAAACCAATCAAGTCTTCGGCATCTTCGCTCTCTTTGACAGCGTCGACGTCTAAGTTGTCTATGGAGAGCGGCAGTCCGGGTAGCAAGTGAACAGTAGAAGTGGTGTGGGAGAAGATTCTGTGTTGCCTCGGGACGTTTGGTGCCTCGTCTGAGTCATTAAACATGTCTCTGCATGTATATCATTACCGCTACCGCTACCAATGTCTCGAACCAAATACTCCGGGGTCGTCTGGTTCGAGGACGGCGGCTGTTGCTGGTATCTCACTTTCAAACCCATGAGCGAGGTCATCCGGAGGCGTTCGTCAGAAGCGTTAGAGACTCTATGAGAGTATGGAAGTAGAGTGATTCTCGAATGAATCCAATGCAGGACTGCGAGCGAGAATTGTGGCTCGAGGATATCGATGACCTGAGTGGTGTTGAGCAAGAAGACAGTGATGAAGAGTTGACCTCAGCTGTATACCCCCTTCACGACGGTCTCGTGGTGGGAGAGCATTGGCCGAGTGACTTTCTATTTGACTGCATCTGGAGGACTGTGCCGCCATATCCAATTCTTTCGTATGCGCGAGCTTGGACGCGGGAATTTCACTAGCAAGACGGCCATACCAGGACAAAAGACTCGGGCTCGGGATCATCGAGGCGCTGGACGCGGTGGCTGACAGAGTCGGCTGCTATGAGAGTATTCTGGACTGCAGCGAAACGCAGAAGAACTGCACTCCACCCAGAAAAGATTCGAGGTGCAGTTTGTGCAGTTTACATCGCACCAGCCTTCATCAGCCGCCGAAGCTGGGTTGCCACCTCAACGCATACACTTCGTTGAGCCGGGTAACGCTTCAGCAAAAGTTTATCTGTTGCTAAACGATTTCCGCCTTTTTCACGTCTTCTTACTACTGCTACTGTCACGATAGCTCAATTGTCAAAACCTGAGCCATGACCACGTCAACGGCAAGAACATCTTGGCGGGCAACGTGTTGGAAACCCTGCGATCTCTCGGCTTCCTTACAGAGTCTGTCATCCTCTGCAGACTTCTTGAGATGTCGATCCACGGTTCACCTCTCACCCAGAACCGCCGGTACCACACATTCTCCAGTCAGCACGTATCGGTACTGGCAAGACCTTGGCTTTACGCATGCATCGCCACGATACTCTGAATCTATTTTCAGCTAGTATTCCGCCATCGTGCATGCGCCGATGCGCCCGTCATACAGCGCGATCGACGTTGCTCCTACCAACTCGTGGCTCCAGCGTTGGAAAGCCTCTCCCACAAATGAACGGTGTCGGCACCTCACATTCGCTCAAACAAGCAAGACAAGCACTTGGGGGTATACGATGGTGAAGAGATATGGAAGCTCTGCATGCGTTACAGCAAAATGCGAGCTGGAAGAAGAGTGAAACCTGCCATCTCGGCATCATGCAGCCTGTGTTGGTCGACGACAGCATCGGCGTGCTTGAAAGGGGAGGTGTAGGCTGCGAGCTTGACTCTACCGTCCCCAGGCTCTTTCTCGGTCCGATGAGCTGGCTTGCCATTGATGATAATACATACTGCTCGCACCAGATGTATGCACCGCAGCCAATATGTCTGCAGTTCGATCCTCACTCCTGCCGAATCGAGATGTACCAGGATAGGACAGGGCTGCCCAGGACGCATGCTCCCCTTTGCTCAAAAGAGACTTGTTGGTCGAGGTCAGGAACATCACCACGACCATCAAAATCAGCACTGCTGTCGGGAGCACAATGACGGGCGTCCGAGGAAGGCTAGTGGTATCTATGATGTGGACAGCCTCGAGGAGGCAGCACTGATCGGTGATGGTTCGCCCGAGATCTACCTGGCTCGTCTTCAGAAGGGTGGCCTTCTGGGGCGTCGAGGTCGCTTTCCTATTCTGAGCAAGAACAGGAGCTTCCACATTTTGCGCAATCTGCGTATACCGCCGACGCATAGGCGGTCAGGATAGGCCAAAAGAAGTCGGTGCTGACGCTCTGATGGCTGGTATCTACACCTTGGTTCGATCCTTTCGTCATCATCCTCCGTCGACAGCACCAATGGGCGACATTGAAGTGAAACGAGAAGCCTGTCACCATCGAGAGACTTCCGGGTGGCCGCTCCGTCTCTCCTGTGAACATCGACGAATCGCGAAGCTCACTCAAGCTCCGGTGGTCAGAACGTCTGAGACGGGCCTCCAATGCTGGGCTACGAGCAAGAATTACGGATCGAGGATTTGGATGATCTGAGTGAGCAACGTCTGCTTTCGCCTCCTGCGAGACTCCAGGGGATGTTCCCTTCACCAGTTGCGCCGCGGTGGCGGCCGACGCCCCGTCCAGCAGGTCCGCGATCGCGTCGCTCTGGATGATGCACCCGCCGCGCCGACAGACGCCGGCAATTGCCGGACGTGCGCGTTGAATGCGGAGCGAAGAGAAGCTCAGCAGTGGTCAGTCAATGCTATCCTTGTGCTCTCGTATTGGACACCTGTATCGGATGATGGAAAAAGATCTGCCATCTCCAACGCCTCTCTTCAAGCTTTTTCGCCCTTGAAAATCTCCCCAGTCCTTTAGAGCCAAATTGCTGCTACCCTTGTTCACCATCATGATGGCAGACGCGAGGTACACGATGAGGAGACTCATCGACGGGATGGACATGCAGCACAACACGAACACGGACGGCCGAGATCCTGAACCTGCCTCCGAGCTAGACGTGGACGAGATGATGGTCAAGCCGAGGGGACGACTACAACGTCACTATCACGCCTTGAGCTTGAATTGATAGAACTTGTACTACGAAGGACTGTCTGAGAAGGTCGCTGCATCGGCAGCGAGGATCACGTGGTGGCGCGTGTACACGCTAGCGCTAGCGTGGTTATGTGAAAACCTGATCGTGACAGTCATTCACATGCTCATCTACAACGCCAGGGGCTCAGACCTGCACCCGTAGGTCGCCAATGTCATCAAGACACCCGACAGGCACTGCACACTCGCGGGTACGGCCAGGACAGCACCACCAAGACCTTGTACAGCCCCACGAGCACGAACCCGAAGAAGACCACGGTCTAGGACCAGAGCAACGAGGAAGAGAGGAAGTCGATCTTTGCGCGCGCCCTGTTTAGCGACGACGACGACAGCGGCTTGAGCGACAGCGACTCGACCCCGAGCAAGCCCGCGTCCACGAACAATCCCAGGGGCATGAGCTGGCTCGCCAACCTGAACCAGAAGAGGGTAATGAACCCGACCACGGTCCCACCACCAACACCACCACGGCCGGGATGACGAACAACAACGTGAGCAAGAAGGTGGGCAGCAAGGGCGTTATAATCGAGGGCTCCAACATCGGCTCGAAGGCCTCCGAGCCCGATGGGACGAGCGAGAAGCTGGAGCAGATCGACAAGGCGTGTAACAACGTGCTCCCGACCGTGATAATGTCCAACACCCTCAGACCGGGAGCGGACCCGGAGAACAAGTACTCATCATCGCGGGAGACGTGAGTGCCGTGACCAGAGCCGCTGCCACGCTCTCCAACCTGAGCCGACCCAGCACAGCGTCGGGCTTGGGAAGCTCAAGACCGAGAAGAAGACGGGCAAGGGCAAGTTGTACTCCGACGTCATTATCAAAGGGCCGAACTGGGTCCTGAACCTGTGGACGCTCAGGAACGTGGTCATGGAGGCCGTCCCAGCCAACAACAAGTACAAGTTGGGCATCAAGATCCACAACGTCTTCCACATCAGGAAGTTGCTGTACCACAGCCCGCCGCTGTCCTCCGCGACCGGGTTCGAGGTGGACGACGACATCTTCAACGAGGCCGAGAGCTTGTAGCCGGTGTCCAATGTCACCTCGTTGATGAACGCACCCAGAGCGCCTTCATGCCCGCGGTGGCCAACACCTTTTCAACGCCATCAATGCCGTGGGCCAGCATTCGGCTTTGGGCATGGAGGGCTCTGTGAAGCTGGACGAAGTGATGGAGCTGTACACGAGCTGAAGATTTTCGGAGTGGGCGCAGACTATACCGACCCCTGGCGCCCAGTCTTGTCTACCTCGTCTCCTGCAATGAAACCTGAATGAGTGGGTTGCTGGTGAGCTGGTAGATGTTCTGCAGTTGTCCTCTCAGCCTTACTGTGATATCGTTGAGGCGTAACAGCTCTTGTGCTGGTGGTTATTCTCGTCTGAGACTCTAAAGGATGGGGACTCGAACATGCCGTTGAGTTTTTCAAAACTAAAGGGTATGCTATGCATCCCTGAAAGCTCTGAAGGTAACTCAAAAGATGGAGAGAATAAGTCAGCTCGTGAGTCTCAGCCTAATAAGACAACAGTTGTCCAAGAACGACTCCGTACGAGCGAATCCAGCAGCCCCCGATCGACAAGTGAGATGACAAGATCGGATCATACCTTGAATGTGCTGGAGGCTTTCATGTTTAAAAAATCTCAGGACTATCAAAGATGACGTCCTGCAGCAAATTGATCGCGAGCCTATCGACGACGAGACGTATCCTATAGAACGAATCATCCAACTGGTAGCCGACCTTCCTATCTCTAGCAGAACCACTGCTACTCTTACCAATGCGTTCCTAAACTAGGTGTGGATAGACTTGGAGCATCCGCCTCAGTCATATCTGGGAGCCGGTTATATTTATCGCCAGGAGGACGGAACCAACAACAATATTCTCTGGCCGCATCTTGGGACTGCAAAACAGCCTTACACGCAAACAGTACGTTCCGGACCAATGCAGTCCGTTGTCAGGCCAGACCCTGGAGTCATCTGTGGTTGCCTTCTGGCGCCTTCCAGGGGTGACGACGCCACAGCCACTGCAAGTTGCTACACGATGAGCAGAACGGGGTCACGAACGAGTTTCAAAACGGGACCACGACCACGTTCACGCAGGCGACCATGAGCAGCCATGCGGCCAGGGAGGTGTTAGCGGTCATGATGGACACCACGAGGCCGAATACGGTGCAGTCCACGATCAAGTCCAGAGCATCGGCGCGACCATGCATCTGCTCTCCGAGAGGACCGAATACACCAACGTGGCCCGGGGCTTGATGATGGTGGCGGACTCGACTGCATCAGCAGCATCTGCGTGGGAATCAGCCCGGACGGCAGCGGCATACTGCCCCCATTCGCGACCGCGCTCGCGTACTCGCCTATCTTGTGCGAGGGGGTGACGCCCTCGGTCCAGGTGCTGACTCAGGCCATGTCCCTGTTTGCCATCATGATCTAGGCCGAGTACGCCAACCAGCATCCGAATGACGACATGTCCGGGTACCTGACCAGGGACAAGTACATGCCCAGATTCGCGATGATGTTGAGGTGCTCGTACTGCTGGTGGATCGACTTCGTCAACGCATCGCCTATGACCGTGTCCAACGCCGCCAAGCCCCCAAATGCATGTCGATGTGCTCGGAGTGTTTGGCGAACATGGTCATCATACACACCGAGCAGGGTGACAAGATCACGGTCACCTGCATGGGCGAGGCCGCAGACAAGGTGATCAACAAGGCAATGAGCTCGTACGTGAACTTGCGGTCGAACATGCGCTAGTGCAGCACGGTCAACCAGGCGATGATCTCCCGCATGAACATCAACAAGCAGATGGTCGAGTGTCCGATCCCGAGTACGGTCACGGCGACGGAGCACTACATCGACGTGTTGGTGGGCGCGGAGGTGCTGCGAGAGCAGAACGAGAAGTTCGACTGGTACAAGTACCCCGACACGACTCTGCGGTCGTTGCTGAAGATGGACGAGATCATGAACATCACATCACTACTAGTTGACCACGTACCGGAACAGCTACTGGGGACGTTCGCCAAGAGCGTCAGGCAGATCCCCGTCAACATGTCCGACGACGAGCTCACGAAGATGATCGAGAGTACGGGGGTGATGCAGCTGGACGAGAGAGAGGACTACACGGCCGAGACCATGAGCAGCTACCACGCCGAGACGGTGTCCGCGCAGAACACGACGCAGACGACCACGGCACTGAGCCCGTTCATGCACATCGAGCAGGACGAGACCGGTCAGCAGACGACGACCGGTGACGCGACGACGAATACGGGTACGAACACTAGGAAGTACGAGGGCCCCTTCGGGCTCGAAGGCAGAAGTCAGCTCGGGCAGTCGCTCGACCTCATGGGCAGGAGCGTGTCCCACCAGGTGATCATCGACGAGAGCTTCAGGGAGCAGGTCCAGCAGATGCAATCGGACAGATGGAACTCACCAAGAGGCAGGTTAACGTGATCAACTGCTTGAGCGAGTTGAGGCATCCGGACGGGAGTGCGATCAATGATGTCGACAAGTTCCTGGAGATATTCAAGGGGTAGTGCAAGAAGATGATGACGGAGATAGAGAAGGCCAGGGGCCTGATCGAGGCCCTGCCCGAGGTTGTGGAATGGGACAGGGGGATCTACGAGGACGAGACCATGCCCCCGTGGCCCTGCAGCAAACCCTCAAATGTTGTGGTGATCAAACGATTGCGTTGTTCCCAGGGACGCATCTCATTCGCGCGCCAGAACGCCAAGTGATAGCGCAATTCAATTTATTTTCCATCCATGGTAGTGAATCTATCTGCCTTGGCGCTCAGCCTTGCGTTTGAAAACCTCAGCCTTGTGTTCGAAAACACCCCATAAATTACTTTTTGTGCAAAAGAAAAAAAAGAGTTACCTCTCTCCGCAACATACAAAAACTCTAACCCAAGCCCAACTCCCCGGTGGGAGTTGAGGTTGGATCGAGGTAAAACTCCCAGCTGTGGAAGGAGTTTTTTCCCGTCGTTTCGTCAGGTTCTCTCCGGCCTCGGTCGCTCCCACGCTTAGGGAGGCCGTGAAAGGCGCGGAACAACTGGGCTACCTGCAGAAGGTAGTGCCATCAGTGTCAGAGCAGTTACCTTCAGGTAATCTCGTAACTCTCAAGAGAAGCTGTCCCAGATCTGGTGGCCACACCCTCACGCCCCAGCTAGCTCCGTCTGCACACTCGGTGTGGCCATCAGAGGCTGGAACCCGGGATAGACCTGGGAATTGTTGGAGGAATTTCTGGGTCTATAATATATATGTGTGTGGGATTCTGCCAGACCTTACACGTGACATTCACCAGACGTCTTTCTTTGCTGCATACAATCTTCCCAGATTCTACACCCCGATCCAACGGGCCCAAGGGCATGCTCTTTCTACTCTCTCTATTGTGAGACTCATGAATACCCAACGTGCACATCAGAAGGCTCGTCTTGGGTACTTGGTCCTCCTCTCTGCTCTGGTGCTCCTCTGCTCGGTCCACTACTTCGCGGCGCCTGTGCCCGTCGTTGCGCAGGGACGACGGCTCGACCATGAAGCAGCAGGTGTACGGACCAGTCTAGACGACCACCAGGATAAACGAGGCGATGATTTCGCACACGCACAGTCGAAACCGACGAACGCGAGCACACCCACGAACGCAGTCGAGCTCAACCCCGTCAGCAGCACCCACAGTGTGACTGAGACCGCGGACGAGACTACGGAGACGTGTTCGAGAGCGGGGACAACAGTCACGAAAATGTAGCTGGAGCTCGACATATTCGTGTTGGTGTCCGGGTACTCGTCGAGTCCGTGTTTGCGAGCCAGGACATCCACCCGACCACGCACCGGACTACACCTGCAGATGCGTGTTCATTGGCAGCTTCTTGCAAGGGCTTCACGGCACGTCCCAGAACGTGGATGTGTTCGAGAGCCTAGACCTGATGACGTTCGGGTGCTCGGTCAAGTTGCTGCCCTCGCACTCCGGCACCGGCGTGGCGAGCGTCACCCTCGTACACCTCCGGACGAGGGTCCACGACATGATCACACTGCTGTGACCCTTGAGTGTTCTCAGGCAATATCCCGTCGCGAGTCATTCCTCGACCATCATCGCCTGCCCACTGCACAAGTTTTGTTCACAGTAACCATCATCAGCTGTTTCGACATTCGACTTATGTACCCGTATTGCTTATTGCCTTGCGGTGTGTCGGTGTTGTGTCCAAGACTGGACTGGAGGGGAACGAGAAGGCCTCCTTGAAAGAGGGAGAGAGGGTGGTTTGAGAGCCCAGGCCAAGGAAAAACCGTGGCTGATGCTCAGACGGCTGAGGATGCTGCATGGAGACGAGAGCCGGCAGCGATACTGAATGCATCGACCCCTGTGAAGTGGATCACTGGACATCTTACGCACGCAGGCACGACGTCGGACTCGGCTTGAGGATGCCTAGGAAGAAGACCGCAACAAGGAGACCCGCCTTGTTGGTGCACGCGGCCATGGATATGACCATTGTGCAGCCGCGAGGTGATCACGCAAAAGTCCCGAACGACCAATTTCCGGGCCGTCTTCCTCGATTCCATCGACCGTTGGTGCTCCGGGTCTTTGGAGTCAAAGCAGGTGGTCACTCACCTCTATCACACTCGAATACAACATCCTCACATCGCAGGTGGTGGCTAGAGCCAGAAGAGATTTGATCGAAATCCTTTGTCTTCCTCTCTCGGTCACGCTAATAACTCGACCTCCTCATGTCGATATGTGACCACAAGGTTAGGTGAGCGCAGAATGGGGTGGTAGCCAGTGGGCAGCTCTGACATCTTCTTCCTCACAACCATCTTCATGGATCCCTTTGTGCTCCTCGTTGACATCGTGTTCGTCAGGCATTTCGGTCGAGGAGGTGAGCGCGAACGCGACGGTTTCGAGGTGATTTCTCAGGATTCAAGGTACGGCGTGCTCGAAAACTTGGAAGCTCTCTCTTATATCACATCACGAGGCTCTGCTGCGGCCTTGTTCTTGAGTTCGTCATCGAACCCCAGTGCTTATCGGCGACTATTCTCAAGTCAGCATTGACCCCTACACTGGGATCCCACCAGGCTTCGAATCAACTTCTTTTTGCATCCGACAAGTAGGAAAGCGTTGAAAGAGAGCTGATCGAGGGCGCAAAACGGACGGACGAGGAAGGAAGCCGACGATCGAGGCACAGGAGGAAGAATACTCGACCCCATTCTCTGCTATCCTGATTGAGCCTCCTTCTATACATCGTCCCAAGTGCCAAAACCCGAGAAAGACCACGTTTCTACAAGCCTGGAGCTTTCTGAGCACACCTCTCCAACGTGTCGCGCGAGCCATCCCTCCCTCCGCAGCCAAACCGCACCTTGCGCTCTTTGAGACACACAACATTCAGATCTGGGGCTCTCCTACGTCGGATCGCGCGGTGATATTTGGGGACAAGCGCGACCCGAAGAAGGAGATGGATGTCTACTTCGTCGATGGCGACGGTTTGTCGCGTATACGCTGGTTGGGCTGAGAGCAGCGTCCTGCTAGCAGTCAATCTGCGTGAATGTAAGATTGCAGGTTGCAGGAATGTTGCAGGAATTCACCATTGTAAGAATACAGAAATGTAAGATTCCTGCAGGGATGTTGCCAGGAATGCAGGAATGCAGGGTTGCCCAAGAAGGCAAGACTGCTCCAGGAATGTGGGATCGTTGAAGGAATGCAGGAATGCAAGACTGTTATCACGAATGCAAGGATGCAGAAGGTGCATGAATGCATGACTGTTGCAGGGATGTAGAAATGTTGGCAGGAATGCAAGACTGTTACCAAGAATGCAGGAGTGCGGGAATTCAGGATTGTCCCAGGCATGGAGGATTCCTCAAGAAAGCTTCCGGATTGCAGGAATGCAAGATTACTCCAGGAATGCAACGATCAATGCTGGACTGCTTCAGGAATGGGGCAAGGACGTAGGAATGCAGGACCGCTCCGGCAATGCGAGACTGTTGCCAGGAATGAAGGGATGCAGCCAGGAATGCAGGGCTGTCATCTGGAATGCAAGATTGTTCCAAAAATATGGGATCGTTTCCATGGAAGGACTACGGCGAGGAGGGCGATACATGGGAGCCAGCAGAGCACAGCGCGGATGCACCGAAAGCAATGGAAGAGTGCAAGAAGTCAAGACAATGAATTTGGCGGCAAAGCAGCAGCGCAATCAAGCCGCAGGTAAAACGCACGCACACGCGAGCCAGACAGGCAAAACAAAGCCACCACCACACCTTCCGCAGGCGCGCATGAAGCGCAGGCAGGACACACCTACAACGCACCTACGACGCACACGGAACGCCTTATCATTCATTCTCGTTGTCGTCCTCAGACATAACATCAGGGTCCCCATTGGGCCAGTGCCGGCGCGGGTTGATGGGAGGCACCTGAACAGCGCCGGGCCAATCAGGAAGAGAGATGTTGCCCTGCAAAAATTAGGAGTGCGTTGCGTACACATTTCGAATACGTACACGTTGAGTCTGGACTTCGGCGACGGTGCGGAACATGAACAAGCATTTAGGTCGTCGACTCAGAAGTCGACGCCGGGGCGCCAACACCAACAGACGAAGCGGAGGTCTTGCCCTTGCGGGGCGTAGCTGGAACGTCCCTGACACGGGGGAGAATTTCAGCAGTGGTTGTGCCAGAATTGCTCATTGCAAAAGAGACAGCAGCAGAGGCCGCACGAAGATTGTCCGCTATGCACACGATTAGCAGCCGAAACGCGCAGAACGGAGGGGGAACGCGCTTACGAGAACGGCTGGGATGCAAGAATGCAAGATTCATCTAGGCATGCAACACTGTTGCAGGAATGCAGGAACGCAAAATCGTTCCAGGCTGCAAGATTACTCTGATTTCAGGAAGGATGGAATGCTGCAGAAATTTTGGAGGAATGCAACACTGTTACCAGGATTTCAGGACTTTGAAGCAATGCTCCAGGACTGCCGGAAAAATGGAGCGATGAAACAATTTAAGAATGCAGGAATGCAGCCAGGAATGCAAACGAATTTCTCACTGACCGGCTAGCCCGGAGCAGCCGGAATGTCAAAGTACGCAGCACAGACCCCGTCACACTCAACATCGAACAGTCTGTGGAATAGAATACTTCATATCTACACGGTATATGGTCAGCTCACTGAAAGGAAGGGATGGAAAGGTGATTTTTGGAGGCGGCTGGAGGTGTTTGGGGTCCATGAGTACGGACACGGGCACGCTCACGCTCAGGCGAAGGAGCAGGACAAGGAGGAGGAGAAGGTGAGCTCATCTCAGCTCGGGTCGGGTCGGGTCGACGTGCGTGTAAACAGCCTGGCGAGGCACGGCAGGTAGTGGATGGATGAGAAGGATTGATTGTTGATGTGATAATGTAGTTGATGGATATCATATTCTATTCCTTCCCCTGATATCCTTACGCTCTGACACCCCAGCATATATGTATCTGGTGTGTGTGGTGGCGGTGGAATGCAAGAATGCAGGAATGTAAGATTACCCCTGGACTGCTGTAAGAGTGCAGGACTCTTGTGGGAATGCATTGATCCAGCAATGGAAGATTGTTGCAAGGGTGCATGAGTGCAGGATGCCTCCGGGGATGGAAGATTTCCCGAGGAATTGATGAACATTTTGCGTTCCCGCAAGATTCCTCCGGGAATGCAGGGCTGTTGTATGAATACAGGAATGCACGTTTGTTCGACGAATGTGGGATTGTTCCAGGAATGCTCCGGGAATTCTCCGGGAATTCTTCGGGACTGCTCGGAATGGTAGAATACTTTACGGGAATGCAGCGGATTGCGGATTGTTGCCAGATTGTACTCGCAGCGCGCTCAAATTGCTTCAGCCATGAATAGTGGCTCGTCGTTAAACGGGTCTTTTGCTTTTTTGCTATTTTGTGTCCCCGAACCGACCCTGGGATCTCGCAAAATCAGGTCCACGGCGTGTTCACTACATTGTTAACACCATGAAAGACTTGACAGTCTTTCCTTGAGCCCGAGATAGCAGCAAGCACCACTCACTCACTCCCTTCCTATTTGAAGATGCTTGATTGACTGAGAGAGGAAACAGATACGAAATGGGAAGCCAGATCTTCATTGATTCCGTGAGAGGAGCGAGCCGACGAGGAGGGAGGGAGGAGCCTGGGAAGGAATAGTCTTGCATTCCTGGGTTCCTGGAACATTCCTAAAGCATTCTTGCATTCCTGCAACAGTGTTGCATTCCTGTAGTCCCTCGTTCCTGGAGGCACTCCTGGTAACAGCCTGGAGTTCCCAAAACAATCCTGTATTCCTCATTCTCGTAGTCCTGCATACTCGCAATCTCGCAATACTACATTCCTGCAAGACCCCTACATCTCCCGGAGGGCTCTTGCATTCCTGCATTCCTGGCTGCATTCCTGCACTCCCATAGCAATCTTGCATTCTCGGAGTAGATATGCAAAATCGGCGACGCCGAGATCGGAAGAGTAGCGACGAGAGGTTACGGCAGAAGGTCAGGAAAAGTGAGTTTCATGAAGCGGCGATAATGTGATAACGGCGAGGTATAGCAACGGCAGGCTGTGCTTCGTACACTGGTCCCAAATCAGTCTCTTCTGGTACGAAAAATCCAGTTGCTGGTTTATGGACATCCCTATTGAGTAATCACATTGCAAAATTTGGACGCTGTCCCGATCGACCGTAATTAGGCCGTGGCGAAGAGAGCGCAGCCGGGTACATTTCCGCCGCATAACTTTTCATCCCCGTATGCGCTGGAAGTGTAAACAACACTATGTTATTCGCCACGTCCGGGGCTGTCGATTGCTCCCAAATTCATAGGATTATTCTCCGAATCGAGCGAGATGCAGGCAGAAAAGGTACCTAGAATACTTTGATGGGGTGAGCCCCCGGCGAATTTTGGCTTAGGAAAGCCCTCACCTCAGCACCTAAGGACTCGACTGCGGATTATCGGCACACACGAGCCACCCAGACGGCTTGAGAGGGTTCTGTGTGCAAATTTGTGTGTGATATTCAAGTGGCACGCATGAGGGGAGGTTACCGGGCACTTTAGGTACATTCCATACGTTGTTAACGAAACACTGTTACTTTCAAGCAGTAGCAATCCCCGACCAAGTAGGAAACGCCAGGTAAGTCTGCCGCCTTCTAGTGGCCGGGCACATCAGAAGGGCGAATGCCGGCAGAGGGTGGAGTGCGCAAACTGGGAGAAGATCAGCGTTCCGCTGTCGGTACATCAACTTGGCAGAGATGCCCGATCCGGGAGCACACGACCCTATTTCGGAAAGGTAAGAAGTGATGTCATGGGTGTACAAACTGGGAGAGACTAGCGTTCCGCTGTCGGTATATCAACTTGGCACAGCTACCCGATCCGGGAGCACACGACCCTATTTCGGAAACGTGAGGGGAGTGATGTCATGAGGTGTGCGGGCTGGGAAACCTACATTCCTCCAACAATCCTACATGCTTATAGCAGTCTTGGAGCATTCTAGCAACAGTCTTGTAAGAATGTAGCGATCTTGTATTTCTGCATTCCATCTCTCCTCCCTCGGACCACGGCCCTTTCTTTTTTCTTTCTTTCTCCCGTGCCTTATTCTTGTTTCTGTCGGTCAGAAAATGTCTAAGCCCGTCCGACTACCAAGCTGGACTATGAAAGCCTTTGCCTCCCTTGTGACCGTGGTCTCCCCAATAGTTCGAAGTGCGTCGTGGCTGCTGCCGACCCTATGAATCGACACATGCAGGAACGTGCAGTGCACCCCGGCCAATATCCTGAAATGAAGCATTTGGACAGGGTTGAAGTTCTTGTACGCCGCGCTCCCATGGAATCAATCCACAAATCAGCCAATCAGGTTGCGTGATTTGCGGCGCCGGACAGTCATGTGACGCCACAGTTCCAGTTGTGATAACCTGGATATCTTTCTCATTTTCGCGCAATCCTCGGCAGAATCTATACACACCAAATTTCTATGGGACTCAATTCTTCATGACATAGATCGATTTCCTGGCGTTATCCTTGACCTCGCCGCCGCCTGGTTTGTATCGCTAGCCTTGGTGCGTATATTCAACTGAGTTCAGAAGCCCTGTTGCTTCGATTCTACCGACCTCGCAGTCTGTTTGCGGACTCGCTCGCCTCTACCACTACCACTGCCTCTGCCTCTGCCACTGCCAATGGCAGGAGGCGCGTTGATGGCGGCAGATCTTGCACCAACTCAGGAGAATCCTCAGGCGAAGGACTGCGGCGCGGCCGTGGCCGATCTGGCTTCCGCAGCCGTCGTTGTGTTGGCCCAGTCGATCTCGACGGCGGAGGACTCTGTGGTATATCTTCCACCTCTTCCGGCCTAGTATTTTCTGTGAGGATCGGAAGCTGTCGATGTCTCTGTGGTGCCTGAGCCATCGGATTAGTACGCAGGCGAACGGTGTGCATGAATGCGCTCTGGGGTCTCTCAGTTGGCCGTTGAATTGGCCGTGGCATGGGGCCAGTTAACCACGCTGGTCGGAGATGATGTCTGCAGGGGAGGAGGAATCGCGTGAGCAGTTGACCGTGGCACTGGCGTCATTCGGCCCTGGCTTCTATGAGTCTGCCGAGTTTTGTCCGGTCAGCTGAGACTGTACCAAGGGCCGAGTCACTGACAGCGAATCTTAGGTGTTGGAAAGCCGCTTCCTGAGCGTCTCTTGAAGCGCTCGGCAAATTCAACGATGTCTTTGACCACTCATTTGAAAGTCTCACCGAGCTAATAAATCGACTTTTTAAGGATCAGTTGACCGTTGGTTATCTAGGTAACAATCCTGTGACAGGACTCGGATCGCTGGCTGGATCCAACGCCCATATTTGGCAGCTGCTGTGTGAACAGCGCCATCCATCGAGACATTCAGGCTCGTTGAGCTGCGAAGCAGAAGACAGTGTGCTTTTCTTTCAATCCACCCCCACAAACATAAACTCTGTTCTCATCCGATCCGAAAGTTGCCCAACTGCGATGCCGAAGCCGGATATCGGTTAGTACGTGCCCACGGCCAACAGCCGAGCCACCGGCCTTCTCCCACCTGCACTGCGCTGTTAGACTCCATCCTCCAAGCACCAGCTCGTCCAGCTCCAGCTTTTCCCAGAATCCCTTTGTTAAGCCTCGGACAACAGTCCGCGATCTAAGGTCCACTTAGCCTGCGTCCAATGTCGCACCTGGTGCTTGGAAATATACGCTTTGTGAACACCAGGTAAGCTCAGCAGCGGTGACGGCGCCTGTCATGTCCCTCGCCCTGCTGCGGCGGGCTACTCCGTCGCAATCCTTCTGCAATGGCTTCAAGAGGCACTTTTCCAGCACCGTCTCCCATGAAATTAATGTGCTGGCTGATGGTCGAGACCTCCATTTCGATGACGAGCCTAGCGGCCACCAGAGGAATTGAAGGCCAAAGATGGCATGCAGAATTTCAAACGACTCGTACGAGAGCTTTCTAGGAACAAGCCGCTGGGTGGAAGGTCTATACTGGTCGAGAACGGGATCCCGCCCTACCTCATCGGCCACGAGAGGAACACGATGGTTCCTGGTGGGTGCCTTGATAAGGCCAGTGCGATGAAAGTGTCACCCGGGCTCCCCGGCCGACAACACCCTATGGGGCGAATAGCCCCCACGAAGGCACACACAGAAAGAGATAAATAGGACCTCTATTCTCGCACTGCTGGAGAAGCCCTCAACAGTGCGAGAAGTCGATGTCTCAAGGACAGCTTTATACAATCCAGATACGTGTTCAACCCTCTGACTCTTCGTCTAACGATCCCACCCCAAAGCTCTCTGACAGGCTGTCTGATTGGTTGCTGCGGCAGGTGTGGCTTGGCAGACACGGTCTTCGCACAAGTGTTTACAGAACCACCTCACCTGCGGCCCTTCTTCTTCATCATCCTTTCTTCTTTTCCTCCCCAGTTTAGTCTCTCGTACAATAGGAAATCACATCTTTATAGCGTTCTCCATTCCACATGTTCCTTACCGTCACACTAAGAGCAAAGAAGAAGAAGAAGAAGAAGATGAAGAAGAAGAAGAAGAAAAACAAGCAGAAGGAGCTTTGTCACTATTACGCCGCCAATTGCCCATCCCACAGCATATTGACAGAACGCCATCTCAAATAAATTTTTCGGTCGACCCCTTCTCTCTCTCTCATTCCTTCTCCGGCGCCACCTCCTAAGGTCTTTCTATGTTGCGTGTCTAAGTTCCTCCTCCGCGGTGGAGCGCTTCACGAACATCGAGAAGGCAGAGGTCCCGGCCGGCATTTGTCTGTCGGATTGGCTGGGGGTGTCGCCCGTGGATGGCTTTGACAAGATCGACTTGAACAATAAAAACCAACAAAAGCACGAGAAAACGCAGGAACCGTGTTCAAATGTGCATTCAGCAGGCGTGCTTACTGGCAATATGTGTGCTGTCATGATGAGTGGATCCCACGAGTCGTTTTCGTGGTCGTTCGTGGTTGAGCACGGTGGAGAATACTTTGAAGCTCCTTTGACGTGACGATGCCGAGGACGAACAGCTGTACCGGCGACAGATGCCTGAGACAAAACGTGGTACGTGCCTCGAGTCCCATTGTCGACTTTCTGCGTCCCGTCTCATTCTTCCAGCGCCTAACCATGCTCTCCCCGAAGACACCTGAGAACATCCTCTTTAACCAACTGCATTATCCTAGGATATATCGATGAGGGGAATCCTGTTACGGACGTTCACGAGTCACACCGACATCCAACTCGGACGCCTTAACGGGACCAACGTCAGTGTGATCGAGATGGCTCCGGCGGACGTGCGCACCGACCTCAACGCCGCCGTCTGGCTGACACGGTTTGACCGAGTTTTCGGCTCTAAAAGGTCGTTGCCGACCTCACTGAGCCATTCAATCGGTGGTAGCGACGGGCGGTCGTCAAGAGCACACCGGCGCTCTTCGTCAAGATGTAAGGTCAACGGCAACCTCGTCCCCAAATTCGGCGGTAATCTCCTCAAGCGGGAGCCTATCGGTTTCTGGTAGACGCCGTAAGTATGGAAGGCTGGCCGCAGGAACGATAGTCCAGTGCCTCAGTGGGTGCCAGTTGGGTTATCCGTTCGAGCCTAGCGTAGTGCTGCTTGGAGAAGTACCGAGAAGTGATTGTCAGGACACAAAGTGAGATCTAGGTTTTGAAGAACGCGATGACGAAATCCGTCGTCATAAGGATATTATTTTGGTGATACCCATCTCGTAGTAGTTTTTGCGAAGCTGAACGAGAGGAAAGCGATAGTATTCATACACCCGACCTTATACTACTTACCAAAGCTACTGGAAGCTGAGAGACTACTTTCAAAGTATCCTACGCTAATGCTCGAACTCTTTCAAAGACGCCCTCCTCGCCCCAAGGTATGCATTTCTGGAGACAATCCTACTAGTGAACTCGCCATGTCTAGCCATATCAAGTCCATTGACGCAGAGGACCATCCTGGCAGGGCGAGACTGCGTATACACGCGCTTAGTCTTGTGTGGTCCGCCCGTGGAGGCTAGTCCTACCTTGCCTTTGGTGATGCTATTTTTCAAGATGGAGTCTAAGTCAGCTGGCGGACGATTCCAGCTTGGTCTTGTTCGAAGATGTATTGTTCCACTATAGTTTCTTGGACTTTATCCCTTCCTCTCATCAACGGCGCGACGTACTGCTCTTCCGACTTGGCTCTCCACTCGGCCTGAGTCCGCTTCCTCCGTTACTATCAACACTTGGCCGTTGCCCCAGATCAAAACTCGTCCTAACACTGCTCGAGCTACTTCGTCTCCTTCACATCCTAATTTCACTTGGGCCCGCCACGTCCGTAACGCCACCCGCACGGGCGAACAAGATCAAAAGCACGTGCGCGTCTTTGCCGATATCTCCAAAGTAGACGGTCTCTCTGCCCTTTTGGACTTGTCGGACGCAAAAAGGAATCGATTCGAAGCCTGGTGGGACCCCTGTGTTGGCGTCAATGCTGACTTTGAGAACAGTCGCCGATGAGCACCGGGCTTCGATGGCGAACCCAAGAACAAGGCCGCAGCAGGGCTGACTGGACCTTGGGGTTGCGGAGAGGTAGGCTGGAATTGGTTATTGATTCCGTTCTGTGGCTGTTGCATTCCTGGATGTGACGTCGGCATGTATTGATTGTTCATCTGAGCGATCATGGGAGAAATGCTCTGCTGATAGGTGGTTGGGGAGGCAGAGTAATTGAATTATCCCTTTGCCGAGGGGGTCTGCACTGTGACAGCGAGGCTTCGGACAATTCAGCGCGGTCGACCATGCTGGGTTGATGAGACAGGCAAGCGTAGAGCTCCCTGCAGCTACTTCGTTTTGCCTGCTCTTGTACTCTGCTGCAGCCCGTTGAGCAGGCCGACATCACGAGTTGAAAGACATACGCGTCCCTAGCCTCAGACACCCCCGGTGTGCGAGACGCCCCCAGGCTCTTCAACTCCGACGCATTAAACGCCGACAGGCAAGGTCACCTGGTCACTGGCTCGACATATGGCCAAGTTATGCTGAGCAATCTCGGTTTACCATACCAACTTGAGGGACGTCGGGAGGGTTGACGGGTGAGAAGTATTCTCATCGAGTGAGACACCAGGACATTGCCCTGAACTGTCTGCCACAGCGAGGGAAGATTCCAGTTTGGCCATCCAGTTAGGTACTTGGTTATTTGGCTACCTGGTGGACGCCGAGGAACGCACTGCCCGTCACGATCAATCCATTTCCTACGTGCAGCTGCTCCGTGCAGGCAGAGAGCGTGGCGTACCCTTTGTCAATCGTGGGCGTTCGGAGTTATTCGAACCCTGGCGCTGCTCTCGTGTCAAGAAATCCTTCCATTCCGGATTTTCCTCCCTTCTTTCATTCAATCCGCATTCTGAAGGCGGGCAGGTCTTTGAGACATACACTGACCTGTCTTGCATCAGCAACAGGGGCAGGGGCGCCAGCAAGCTCAGCCGCTCCAGCTTGCATTCCGTTGTCAGGCAGAGTTATTGCCCCCTTGCACACGCCGATGTCAGACCAAGAATGCTCCTCACTCAATGGTCCGCGGTAACTTTCGTTTTCCGGCGTGAGCCAGGCTATGACCCAGGCATGAGGCACAGTGCCTTCTGCACCGCGACTTCGGTGGGGGTGGGCAGCGACGCGCCCTCGACATTGGCGGTATCGCCCAGCGCGAAGACTGGAATGGAGGAATGCAACAATGCAGGAATGCAGGATTGTTACCAGGAATGCAGGCAAGCAGCAAGGACTGTGGAATTGTCTCATGAATGCATGGCTACGGGAATGCAAAATTGCTTCAGGAATGTTGCAGAAATGCGGCAATGCAGCAATGCAAGAGTGTTACCAGGAATGAAGGAATGCAGCCAGGAATGCAGAGATGCGGGAATGTAAGATTGCTCGGGGAATGCAAGACTGTTTGAAGAATGTGTGATGGTTCCAAGGTTTCAGGAGTGCAAAAATGCAGAATTGTTGCAGGAATGCATTGCTCCAGGAATGTGTGATTGTTCCAGGAATGCTCCGGGAACGCTGTAATAATGAAGGACTGTTGGGGGAATGCAGGAATGCTGCGTGTTGTTGGCAGGTTGTACTCGTGGAGCGCAGAACTCGCTTCAGGTGTGAATATTAGCCACTCATCGAACGGGGTTTTTTCGCTTTTTTTTTGCGTGTTTGTGTCAACGAACCGACCCTGGAATGTCGCCAAATCAAGTCCACACCGCGTTTAACACATTATCCGAGGATGTCCAGCACGCTATAATGAGAATCTTCATTCACTCCGTAAGAAGAGCGAGCGGGAAGAGGAGGGAGGAGCGAGTCTGGGCAGCAATAGTCTGCATTCCCGGAGCAATCCTGCAAGAATGCAGCAGTCTTGCATTCCCCAAAACAATCTTATATTCCTGGCTTCATCCCTTCGTTACTGCATTCCTGGCAAAGGTCTTACATTCCTTGAGCAAATCCTACATTCCTACACTCCTCCATTCTTGTGGGCCTGCATTCCGGCAGTCCTGAAGCACTTCTGGAGGAATCCCGCATTCCTGTAGCAATATCACATTCTTGGTGAAGTCCCACATTCTTAGAAAATTCTTACATTCCTGGAGCAATCTCGCATTCCTACAACATCCCTACATTCCCGGAGGAACCTTGGGGGAATGCAAAACACTCCTGCATTCCTGGAGCGATGCATTCCAGCAACAGTCCCGCATTCTTGGAACACTTTTGCATTCCAGATAATATTCCTCCATTTCTGAGTGCATTCATGGAGCCATCTTACATTCTTGCATTCTTGTTGTAATCTTGAATCCCTCCCTGCGTCCCTGACTGCATTCCTTTATGTCTGCATATCTGCAACAATTCTGCATTCTTGCATTCCTAATAATCAGTCTTACATTGTTGCATTGCTTCATTCCTGTAGCAATCCCGCATCCCCGAAATAGTGGCGCAAGAATGCAGCAATCTTCCATTCCTGCCTTCTGCATTCCTAACTGCATTTCTTCATTCCCGCAATCCTGGGAGCACTCTTGCATTCTCACATTCCTGCAGCATTCCTTGAAACAGTCCTGCATTCCTTCATCCCTGCAACAATCGTCCATTCCTGGAACGGCCCCATATTCTTGGAACGGTCTTGCATTCCTGCATTCCTGGAATCGGAGCAATTTTGTATTACAGCAACAGTGGCGCATTCCTGCGGTCCTGGGTTCCTGTTGTCCGCATCCCTGGCTGCACCCTTGGCTGCATTCCTGCAATCTTGTGGCCCTGTATTCATGGATTCCTGGAGCAATGCATTCCCGTAATGGTCCTGCGTTCTTGCAGCAGTCTTGCAACATTCCTGCATTCCACCGCCACCACACGCACCACATACATACTTGCACATACACTGGGGTGTCAGGGTGTGAGGGGAAGGAATGGAATGTAGAATCCATCAATCACAACAATCATATCAACACTCAACCAATCAATCAACATAAATCTGAATATGATGAGCTCATGCCGTCCCTCCTCCCTCGGGGCACGGCCCCTTCCTTTTCCTTTCTTTCTCCCTTGTCTTGTTCTTTGTTTCTGTCGGTCAGAGAATGGCTGAGCGCGTCTCACCGACGAGCTGGATCATGAAAACCTTTGCCTCGCTCGGCTTCGGACGGGCAAAGTGGCCGTGGAACAGTCGGAAGTGCGTCGTGGCTGCTGCCAACCCCGTGAATTGACACACGATGCCTTGAAATGAAGTATTTGGACAGGTTGAAGTTCCCGGACGCTGCGCTCCCATGGAGTGAATCAACAAATCCACCAATCAGATTGCGCCGTTTGGGGCGCCGGACATTCACGTGACTCCATCGTTCCAGCTGTGAGAAGTTCATGGAAATTGCGTTGCACTGCGCTGCGTTGTTCATTTTCCCATCCGTTTTGGCCGCAGCCTCTCTCGCGGGATGTCAAATTGAAATTGCTCCAATTCCAGGGTTGCCGGATTGCTGCAGGGATGCAGCAATGCGAGAATGCAAGACCGTTCCAAGAATGCGGTGTCGTTCCAGGAATGCAGGCAAACGGCAAGGAATGCGGGGATGCAAGATTGATCCAGGAATGCAAAAACGCAACAGTATTGCCAGGAATGCAGCCAGGAACGCAAGACTGTTCCAAGAATGTGAGATTGTTTGAGGAATGTAAGATTGCTCTAGGAATGCCTCCAGGAATGCAGGGCTGGTCCGAGAATATCGGATCTCCAGTCTTCCCACTCTTTGGCACCCGGAGGCGCTCGTCGGTCAAGATGCGCGTGAGGTCGCACTGGGACAGACAACTGTCAGCATAAATCGACTGTCCCGTGCCAAACGACTACCGCTGCTGCGATATGGATGTCGCTGTGTACTTCGAGCAAATATGCCAACATCGAAGGACCCAAATACTTCCGACGGCAGCAACCAGAACCTCTTCGCCCCTCGCTGACTGGCTAGCGAATGGGATCCTCCTTCGGACAATCGTAGTGTTACCATGGTGCTCCGGAAACACCCAAAGATTTGTGCCTGCGACGCCAGGACCGGACTCAGATGTTTATGGTGCCAATGGGCTTTGCGCTGCAGAGTACTGCGGCCACGACTACACGTACGTGAACGTCGACGACATGGCAAGCAGCACCCCGAACAACCACAGCAATAGCAGCAGCACGAGCCCGAGACCCAAAGCGTTCACACAACGAACAGGAAAATCTGCCGCACCAGGAGGTGATCCTGGGGCCGGTCCTGGGATTGCCTGCCGGGCACCAGAGATGTCGCCATCGCCGCTCACAAAGTGTAGAGGTATTGTAGCCAAATAGGTATTGTTTTGCTGGCAGTCACAGAGACCTAGGCTCGACTGACCACGACGATTGATAGCCCACTGGGTCTTGGGACCGACTTTGGGTGCGAGCCTGGCCAGGTTCTCTGATGCCGCAGTTCCACCTTTTCTTTCCACCGCTCACAGGGCCTTCAAGGGCTCAGGAATGAGTCGAGGAGCAGCTTCGAGGAGGGAGCGTCGAGGGGGGAGCTTCCAGAGGAGAGGGCCACCTCCAAGGCCACCCCTAGGGCCTATCTCAAGGATGCAGGATCATTTCCAGAGGCCCCTTCATGGCTGTCTCAAGGACACAGGATCGCCTCCAGAGCTAACCCCAGAGCCACCTCCAGGGCCACCTCAAGGACGGAGGATCACCTGCAGAGCCATCAACAGGGCCACTCCCAGGTCTATAATCCCACAGTTCTCTCTTTTTCTTTCCAAGCCAGTAAGGCCTTTAAGGGTTGAGGAGTACGTGGAGGGGGGAGCGTCAAAGAGAGAGCTTCGAGAAGAGTCGACCACCCCAGGACCACCTCAAGGATGTAGGATCACTTCTAGGGAAACTCCCAAGCTCTGTATTGCCACATTTCCACCTTTTCTGTCCAACGCCGGCAAGGTTCTCAAGGACTGAGGGCCGTGTTGAAGAGATTCGAGGGGAGGAGGAGGGTTCGGTCTGACTGGGGCGATTTAAGGAGCGTAAATAGACTATGAGACGTGAGTCCGTTGGGTCTCCCCAAGGCGCCAAAGAAGCGAGTAGGGTCTTATCAAGGATGCAATGGGCCTGAGGGTCGTCCCAGGGTGGTCTTGAAGGTGATCCTGGAGTTGACCCTGCATCCTGGGGGCGGTCCTGGGATTCCCTGCTGGGCACCAGGCACGTCACCATCGCCGCCCACGAAGTGTATAGGTATTGTAGCCAAATAAATATTGTTTTGCTGGCAATCACAGCGACCCGTTCTCGACTGACCGCGACGAATGGCTGCCCACTGGATCTTCCCACACCGCCTTAGTGTGAGTGCGAGTCTAACCAGGGTCTGCGATGCCACAGTTCCACCTTTTCCGTCCAACGCCAGCAGCGCCTTCAAGAGCTGAGGATTGCTTCGAGAGGAGCTTCGAGGGAGCTTCGAGGGGAGAGCTTCGAGGAGCGTTTTTCGAGGACAGGAGACGGGTTTGGACTAACTGCGAGCGATTTGAGAGGCCTTCACATGGTTAGTTTCACAGTTCTTCAACCCAGTGCCCACGAGCTTTTCGAGGGAGAGTTGCCACAGACGAACTGGATGATGCTAAATGAGGAGACCGAAACTCTTGAGTGACGATTTGACGTCGTGGTCATGGGACTGTGGATGAAGACTGGGTCTGAAGTGGTGGTAGCGGCGATGAGATGGAAATAACATAGCAAAAGGGAAAAAGGGAAAAAGGGAAAAAGCGCAGTCTCACGGCCATGTGATTCACACAGTTACTCCGCACAAGGCTGGCTACCCCACACGAGGCTGGGTGAAATTTTATCAACTTTCTATTTAATCTACTGTGCGGCGCGGTGACAGTGGTGGGATGAGGCCGGGGGAAAGAAAGGACAGGGGAAGTAGAACGGCAGGGTGGAGAAGCAAGAAACTAACTACCATGGGGAAAAGGTGACGACCGGAGATGTGATGGAAAGTGCTCAACACACGTATCCGTATACCTGCACCACGGGCGTGGACACTTGCGTTTTCGTGTGCTCGTCGGGCGACGTGTGTATGACCGGCTACCATCTCCTCAACTGCGAAAACGAATCTGGGTGCGCCTGTGGAGGTGTAGATCTTCGAAGCCATCGGTGATGACTCCCGTCAATGAACAGTAGATACGCAGAGTGAAGCCACTACCCCGGACAAGTCACAGCCTCTGCTGCCATGATCTCAGCCTCCAACTCACAAGACCCACGCTCGACAGGCTTCGTTTGCTGCGACATGTCAACGGCCCAAAACCATCTGCCATCTTGATGGCAAAATCTCTGAGCATCTCCACAAAGGAAGCCGGTTTTTGTAGCAAACATCCCGCAAGAGCAAGGTAAACAAGAGAAAAGGCATAGCCTGCACCAAATCCGGAGGTGCCCAACCCTCGGTTCCTCAGTTACATCTCTCGCAAGGGAATTGAAGTGTTCACCCTTGACTTCTGCATTCTCTTGTTGATCTGCATTCAAAACCAAATGTCTGCCGCAGTGCCCGGATAGGGCTCGAGGTGCTTCACCAAGCTAAGTCGTCTCGCAGAGTACCGACCGTATATTGATAATTATCCTTCGACTCTTGGAAAGCGTATCACATTCCTCACTGGAATAGATTTCGAGACTGCTCATTCAACCTTCGTGGTGGCAATGGCCGACAAGGAGCACCATTTCCTGGCAGGAAGCGTTATTTTCAAATCAACACATGTCGGAACAGGACAGTATAACTCTCTCCGTGTTCGACCCTGGATCGCGAGTTCCCACTATCACGCCGAGGCATATGTCAGAGAGCCTTGGGGTGGGATCGTTAGACGGAGAGTCAGAGGGTTGAACACGTATCTGTATTGTATAAAGCTATCCTTGAGACATCGACTTCTCGCACTGTTGAGGGTCTCTCCAGCAGTGCGAGAATAGAGGTCCTATTTATCTCTTTCTGTGTATACCTGTTGGGGGTAGACTTGGCATTGGGGTCCGTCTTGGCGTTGGGGTCCGCATTGGTGTTGGGGTCCGCCTTGGCATTGGGGTCCGCCTTGGCATTGGGGTCCGCCTTGGCATTGGGGCCGTTCACCCCATGGGGTGTTGTCGGCCGGGAAGCGTATTGTAACAGTCATTGTAACAGCCCTGCTTCCCGGGTGACAGCATACGTGAGAAAGCCACAATGTGCGATGCTGTTTGACCACGCAGTGGACCGCGCTCGGAAGGTGGCATAAGCCTTCTTGGATGTACCTGTCTGCCTGCTTCAGCCTGAGCTCCTACCAGCAGGTGCAGAAGCTCAACAGCGCCGTACGTGCAGGCCTCTCAGATTCTGCGCGTTCACGACGCTCGTGGAGATGGGCGTTGGGGTTGAGGTTGAAGTCGAGGTATGCCGCGCCTTGATGTGGTGTCCAGGAATAGTGATGTCATGGGTTGCGCAAACTGGGAGAGATTCAGCGTAGCGTTGTCGGTACATCAACTTGGCACAGATCCCTAATCCAGGAACAGACGTCCCTTCCTGGAAGGTGAGAAAGTGATGTCATATAAATCAATAAGGTGGAGGGGGTGTGCAAACTGGGAGAGATTCAGCGCAGCGTTGTCGGTACATCAACTTGGCACAAATACCCAATCTGGCAGCGCACGGCCCTATCTCGGAAAGGTGAGAAAAGTGATATCATGCAAATCAGCAAGGTGGACGGGTGTGCGGACCATTGTTGCATTGTTACATTCCTGGCGACGTTCCTAGAATTGAGCATCTTGCTTCGTTCTTCCATCAGTCCTCCCAACACCACTCTCTGAACCCCAGTCATCTCTGTTGGCCGCTTCTCGCACTGTTTGTTTGGGGTCGCACCTCACAAGTCTTGATCCTCGGCACCAGCCGTGGAGATCTGCCTCGTTGAAGCGATTCTTCGCTCCTGGATTGGCGATCTGATGTTGCAAATACGACGTCGACTCCACGCGTCTTTCTGGCTGGCGTGTGTGTCTCACACTCCGGAACCAGTGTCTGAGAGGGGATGAAGCGTTCCGGAATAAATTTCAACCGTTGGGGAAATATGCCTCGCTCTGGTGTATCATGTGCGCGACGGGACACAAATCAACCCCGACCAGGGGCCATTCTTTGCCGGTCGACGGATCAATCGTCACTGTTTCCTTGACGACGGAGACTTCGTTGGCACGTTTCAACTTCCGGCAGGAAGGTCTGCGACTCGACCAAAGACGCATTGAGCAGGATACGTTGCGGGGATCTCACCAAGAAGCTATTTGCCCTCCTATGGTCCCTCTGGTCTTTGCGGGAATTGGGGGGGGAGACCTCCCAAGAACATAGACACGGGCACAGGCGTGGGCAGCAGCAGCTACCTGGCGCACGAGGATGTGTTTTTGTATGGCGGCAGTCCAGGGAAAACACGAGGGGGTATGGAGACGTTGTTGCTGTCAGCTTGTATTTGCCTGGGGAGGATAGTAGGATGTGTCCAAGGAACTGATCTAGCGTGCTGACGGTGAAATGACAATACCCCCAATAGCTGGTGGGGATGCGCAAAGTTGGAAATAGTCTTCTCGCGCTCGAATCTCCCCACGTTAATGTCGATTGATAAGCGACGCTTGCCTTCGCGCAATTGTGATCAAGAATAGAGTCCTTTCGCAGTGAACAAAGAGCAGCTTGCCCAGCTGATGGCCGATATTATAAGGGCCAAACATGACGAGATATGTCGCCTTCGTTGGGATTCAACCGTGGAAACAAGAGGATGGAGTCGTCTCGCCTCGAATCGTCAAGCAGCGCAGCGTCCCGCCCGCCATCGGGTTCCACCCTTTTGAGTCAAGGATGCCTTATTGAAGATAGGCAGTACTCAGCGATAGGTAGATTCCGTAGTAATAAGTATCCTTTACGGACAGTAATAACAAGACTCCATGCTTGAGAGAAGGAAGCTTCCTGGGTGCGGGAAGCGTACCTTTTCTCATATAGGCTTAGTAAGCCGAAATGGCTTAGGGTCGTCCGAGGAGTCCCTTTACTCCGCTCTTCCCCCTGAGCTACGGTGGCGCATAGGGGTGCTTCTCCCCTGCGAGTCACATGCTCTTCTGCTCTGTTTGTGACACTACCTAAGTGGGAATGCGCCAAGACGCCCAACCAGCGGCTGCCCACAACAGTGCCAGTGGCGCGCAGTGTCACTTCCCTGGATACACATGAAGAATAACAAAGGTCCTCACCATCTTTCTATTTTAAATTCCTGATTCTTTCCCACCTTTCTCCTCTCATTCTCTTCAGCGCAGCATCACCAATCTTCGTCATGGCGTCCCCCACGTCGTCGCATTCATCCAACGAACCACCAAGTGTATTTTCACCTGCAAAGAAGCGAAAACGCGGCGACAACTCCAGCTCCGAGGAGTATATTCACGATGATGTTCTAGGCGACATAATCAAGGGTCGTATCCCTGGGACAGCCACCTACACCGATAAGGGGCTTGATATCGAAGCCTACCGAGTAGGAGGACCGGAACTCCCGATGCTACCTATAAGATATCTCGAGACTCCCGAGGATAGGCGCACTCTATTTGATAGTCACATTGCCGGAGATTTGGTCAAAATTTTGAAAGAAAATTCTCTTTGGCCCGCGGACCCCGACTTTAGACTGGTCACGATGGTCAGCCAAGCACGACCGAACGCAGAAGCCTATGCATATGCATTTATGGAGCTACAATGGAATGATGGCTGCCAGCAACGGTGGATCAAAGCTGCCGATACGATGCGATCGAAGCTAGAAGATCTAGGATACCCGTGGATCAAAGTGCTGCTGGCAGATAGGCGTGCTATGGTCACACCATTTAGTAAGGTGATCTCTGCCGACGACCCTCTCCTGAAGACATGGCCCGTGGTCGCCAATAAGATTCTTAACGTTGTCTCCGTGAAAAATAGTTGGATTACTCTGGACCTTTTGCGACGCGGGAAAGAGTGGGCCGGGGGAAAAGACGAGGAAAAGACTAAAGCGGTTCTTTTGATACGATACGACGCTCAAGACTTTGACGGCCCTACACTTCAGGAATGCAGAAGCGCTATCAGCGGCGATCCTCTCTACCAGCAGAGAGGCGTTGAACTCGAAATCATACGAGGATTTTTGGTAGGAGGTACCAACGAACTATCCTATGAGAGAGAGCCACCTGCACTGTCGCACGGAGATGACATTTTCAATACTATCCCATATATGGGCGCCAGTATCTGCCCCGACTCCTATGTCGGATCTGGTTCCTTCGGCTGCGTTGTTACGCTGGGAGGCTCAGGCACGTACGGTCTAACCGCCTGCCATGTCGCTCTCCCAACATCCGACGGCCAGGTTTCCTACGCCGATCCCGAGGCACAGAGAAACATACCGGCTAAACTTATTGATTTTTTGCCTACTGGCGCTGCACTCGGGACAATTCCTAATGCGCCCGTGATCAAAATGCCGTCCAGAAACGACCTTGAGGACCTAAAGGAATACTATCAGCAGAGAATAGATAAGGGAAATGAAGCCTGCTTACGTCTCAATTACGTGGCGGAAGTACTAGCAATTGGAGATCCAGAATTGGATAGGACGCTTCCTCGGGGAGATCTCGCGACATACAAGCAATTCAAGCGCATAACAGAGCACGCTGAGGACTCCCTCTCGAAAGTTAATGGACTTCTCGCAGAGATAGATACACCACGGTGTTCGCTTGGACCTCTCCGATGTTTTTCCGGCTTCCGTAAGGACGAAGATACTGGAATGATCCTTAATTGGGCTCTCTTTCCAATCGACTCTCGAAAGGTACCGATCGAAAATAGAATACCTGAGCAATCTAGGGAGTATATTCAAACCTGCTTAGTTGGGTATTCTCGTCCTCTGACTGGGTATACTCCTCCTATGACTGAGGAGCCTGTCTTCAAAATTGGAAGAACAACCGGGTTTACCAAAGGCAAGATCAACCCAGCTGAGTCATTCGTTAGTGTCCTCGAGGCACCATATACGAGAGTTTGGCCGGCGGAGCCCGGCACCGAGCACCAGCAAATTCCAGAACTCAGCAGAGCTTCTGCAGTATGTGTCGTTTCGTGGGAAAAGGATAGAAGGTTTGCTGGCCCGGGGGATTCTGGGGCTGTCGTCTTTAATACGAGAGGAGAGATGAAAGGCCTCGTTGTGGCTGGAAATTCCGACCATACAGTGACCTATATGACACCCTCAACCGTGCTGGTGAACGACATCAAGAAGATGACTGGAGCGAAGGATGTTTTCTTTCCGACACCTGATGGTCCGATGGCCCGATGGCCCGTCGGCCCGTCAATGTAACCGATGGCGATTCGGAATTGAGGAGAGAGGTTCGAGGAGAGGAGAAGGGTTCGATCTGACCAGGGTCTGTGATGCCACAATTTCACCTTTTCTCGTCCGACGCCAGCAGGCCTTCGGAGGCAAGAGAGAGGGAGGAGAGAGACATTGATCGGAGAAATGGATAATGTTTCAGATTGACCGGGTATGATTTGGGGTCCTACAATCAGTCAGTTTCATAGTTCCATAACCAGTAAGAGAGGCTGTTCACAGATAGTCAGAACGATGAGATTAAGGCTGTTAACGAACGGGTTGGTGGTGTTGAAATGAAGTTATTGGAAGTCCAGTTGATGGGCGGCGTCATGGGAAGGGTGATTATCAGAGCGCGGACGCAGGATCGGGAAGCCAAATAATCCCTCAAAATCCCCCAAATTGCCCCCAAATCTCCAAAGTCACGTTATCTGTCTTGATCAGAACGGTGGCTCTCCGTTCATATCTGCCGGTAACATCACCTCTGTCAGAGAGCCGTGGGGTGGGATCGTTAGACGAAGAGTCAGAGGGTTGAACACGTATCTTGATTGTATAAAGCTGTCCTTGAGACATCGACTTCTCGCACTGTTGAGGGCCTCTCCAGCAGTGCGAGAATAGAGGTCCTATTTATCTCTTTCTGTGTATACCTTGTGGGGGCCGCCTTGGCACTTGGGGGCCACTCGCCCCATGGGGTGTTGTCGGCCGGGAAGCGCATTGTAACAGCCATTGTAACAGCCCTGGGGTGTTGTCGGCCGGGAAGCGCATTGTAACAGCCATTGTAACAGCCCTGGCGTGTTGTCGGCCGGGAAGCCCGGGTGACAACCTCAGCCGGCGCTTCGCTGGAAATCACCTAAATAATTACCACCCCAGCGACGGAGCGACAAATTAGAGAGAAGAACAGGATAAGAACATCTTTAAGTAGCCGAATGTAAAGTGTTGGATACCTCCTACAGAATATGCAGTGGTGGCGGCCAGGCTGATCTCCCCTTCCGCCCGAATGGCCCCCTTTTTTTTTCCCGGCATTAAATTGGTGTGGGAACACGGTTAAATTAGTTAAAGGTTTCGTTAAGCCTCCCTGTGATATAGTTAAAGGTTTAGTTAAAGCTCCTCCCCCTAAAATCTCCCCGCACGGGCACAATTTCCAGGTCGAACGTCATCATCTGTCTCGACGAACCACGAACTCCCCCGTGTTCGGATGGCATCTTTTCTCGAGCTCCGACACTATGTCTCTCCAGAGGCTTCATTGAGGGGACGACAATGAACCCTTCTGGCTGCAGGGTGTGGTCCAAATCTATCTCTTCACGGTAGAAGTCCAGATAAAGGCTGAGCTAAAGACCCCCGTGAACATGCACACCGTTTGCTCGCTGGCTCACTGGGCCTTTCTGTTCCCAGGACACCCTTCAAATCGCGGGGGAAGATCCGACGGAAACACTCGACACCGTACCGTGGGCTTGTGGAAGACCCGGGAACGCAATCGGGAACCCGAACGACCGAGCGGGACGAACAACGATGAGGTCCAGTACCGCTCCTTGATCACGATTCATAGTTGGTCGAAGGACTGGAGGAACCAAACGAGTCCTGTCCGTGAGCATGGCCTTGGAATGGGACTTGGAGGGCGTGAATAGTGCGGGCGCCGTCGACAGACCTGAGGATATGATGATCCAAAATGAGATCCTGCAGGTGAACCACGATGACCTATAGTAGGGCGGCTATTTCATCTAACAGTGAACTAAAGCGTCGGGAATGAGTCCCGGAAGCGTAGTGGCATACGAAAGGTAGGTTATAGAGGCCCAGGGGGATCTTCCTCGGAGGCTTAGAATGGCTTCTAAGGAAATTGGGAAGAAGGTTCGCTGCAAAATAGAAAGTAAAAGTACTGTTTGTGCGTGCTTTAAGGGTGCTGATCACTCTTATAGCTATGGAGTAAAAACACTTTCCAAGCTCCGACTCCTGTTTCCTCCTCAGGCCAAGTCGCCATCACGACATGCCTTTCATGACCTAAAAGCAGACCTTACTCACCCTCACTGTCTGTCCACACGCGAGCCTCAATTCTGACACCGCTTCTGTTTGAAGTGCCAGGGACCAATCTAGGTCTCTTGATGGGACATTTGCGTTTCCCTTTGGGATGGCCCTGAGTCTTGTTGTCATCCTCGTTGCTTGTGGTTTTATCTTCGTCGTTGTCACCCTCGTTGCCTGTGGTTCCACACTCTTCTGGGGAGCTGCGATGTCCACATGGTTCTGAGCTTGCTCTCGCCTTGCGTTTGCGTGACGGTGTCCAGAGCACCAAAGCAGCATCTGCATAACTCAAACGTTGGTCGAAGTCGAGCTCACCGTCACTCATGCGCTTGTAGACTTTGAGACGTCTGCGGCCGCCGTCGTCGATTGCGGTGAAAGCACACCCTGAGTCACTGATGCCCACGGTGCCAGGAAAACACTCCTGAGGCCCGCCCGACCACGGGGGCAATTTGATTCCGAACTGCTACTGGGTTAGTGGGCCAAAAGCAGGGGGAAAGAAGAGGACTTGCATGGTGGGCCATGACCTCTGTGGCTGTCTTGATGGCCTCAACACCCTGTGCAATCACACTGCCCAGTGCACGGATTTCAGGTCCCACCTCATTCTCAGAGTTGGAAGCGGTGCACTTCTTGTCAATGCATCTGGCCATGGCTTTGATAGCATCGCCTATATCAGGATGTTAGCTGGCTCAAAGCTGCCTGAGACTGGCTGGAGAATGAGGTTGCATACGACTGAATTTGTGCCTGACAGTGAAATTGTCGAGGGCCGCAATGATCAGTTGCTGGGTCATACCACGACAGTTGGGAGGAATCTGTACTGTCAGCTTGAATGAAGCAACATTAGAGCCGGCTGAACTCACTGCTCTGCACTCAGTGTTCGAATCGCGGCAGTGCTGACAAGCGCCACGGCGTCTGTCACATCTGACTCGAACTGTCCTGACGCCGGCTGCATAGGTTAGTATGGACAAGGCAGACTGAGAGCAGTTGCCTACGCGTAGTGCGCGGCTCGATCATGACTTGAGAATCTCGAGAAAGGCTGCGGACGCATCTCTGGCAGACTTCAAATTGCAAGACATCGCCTATCCTGACAAGTTCATCAATGGACTCGGAACTGGCCTGCTGTCAGCATGCTGTCTCTCTGGGGGGCATGCAGTGGTGTGTACTCACGACGCCATTGTCAGGGTTGGGCTTGTGGGAAAAGATAAGGGGGGTCTCAAGAGATGCGCGGGGGGAGGCAAGTTACCCATTGTGTAGAGGGAGAGAAAAGGAAGAGGGAAAGAAATTGAAGAAGGAGAGAAAAGGAAGAAGGAGAGAAAAGGACGAGGGAAAGAAAATGAAGAAGGAAGAGAAAAGGAAAAAGGGCGGAGGCGCCTCCCTCGTTCCTTATATGGTACGCCCTCAGCAAGGGTTCCTACACCGCCTTTTCCCCCTTGCCGCGGGTGCAGTTCTTCTTTCGGCATGGTTCACCTCCTTACTGTGTCATGTGTTGCTCGCTTGCGGGTGCAGTTCTTCTTGCGGCATGTTTCTCCGCCTTAATGTTCGATGTCTTTCCCCCTTGCGTCAGCAGGCTTGGCGCTGGTTGATCGGAACCGAACCCGCCCCGTTGCACGGTCACGTGACTGTACGAGTCTTGATGTGCCACAAGGTCGTCTCGGCGCTGGTTCTCCAGAACCGAGCCTTGTCCTGGGTTCAACCAATCAAAGGCAAGTAGCTGAAAGTGCTTCCAGGCGTCATAAAGCTCTTGGATTGAGCCCACACCCCTGAGAGGTCTCCGATTGCCGAGAGTAGAGTGACAGGAGGTCGGGAGCAGAGGGGTAGAGCAAGGTGGAGGTCCGCATGCTTAGGCTTCAACGAGAGAAGCGACCTAAAAGCATTGCTGTGGCAGGCTATTCAATACCTACATGGTGGCTACGAGGCCTCAGGACGATTCTTGGATGTTGAGAACAGTTCATCCAGTGACAACAGAGCATGGATTGGCAGAGGCCATGAAGTCGAGGCCAAAACGGTGATACTGGCAAACATCAAGAGGGAGGATGTCAGCTGGATGTCCAACAAGCTGCCCGAGTATGATTTCCAAGTATGGCGTGGATGTGAAGGCGTAAGAGGCGATGGGACAGCGAGCTGGCATGGCCCTGTACAAAGGGCAGGCATGTTATATCGGCTGGGCTGGTGGCTTTTCATCTGGCCTTGAGAGCCCGGCGAAGGATCGCCCCGCGTTCGGTGTTGAGCCCTGCGACCAGGTGCAGGAGCGTCGAGAGAGCTTCCTTGGAGGCGAACCGGTGGGGAGCGTGTGCTTCGGACTGGGTCGGGCAGTGGCGTCTGGGGGAAGACCATGTGTGGAATCATTGTTATGGTGCAATATGTGCAAATGCGAGTGCGAGCGTTGATGCCACTGGAACTGTTGTCTTTCTCTTTGCCATGATGGTGCTGATGGGAAGCCCTAGGCAGGTGATGGCGCGAAGTCGTCTTCTTAAATGCACTGGTCGCCGTGGGCAGGGCGGCTGCATTTCTGGCTTTGGGCTCTGCAGGCGAGAGATATGGTTTCGATCTGACATATGACTGCCGCGTACGCTGAGGTTGGCTGCAGATGAGGCCTTATCGTTCATGTTCGAGAAGCTCCTGAAGCGGCGGCCAGCAAGCTCTCCGCCAGCATCTACGCCCGCGCCAGCGATGTGAACACTAGACCAGTTCCCGGACAGGAACTCGTTAACGTCGATCGTTACGTGGAGACGCGACTCTCTCCTCTCACACAAGCACGAGCATCTCCATCTTCAAGCACTTGGCGAGGCCCTCGATGTAGCACTTGTCCGCCGTATAGAGCGACACGTACGCCGTCGATACTGGCCAAATTGGAGTGTTTGAAGTGTTTGGGGAGAATAGACTTGGTTGACTTTGATACTGCATCAGGACTTTGCCGTTTGGAGTATAATCGCCCTTACGCGGCACCAGACGGCTTGGGCGTTCATCTGCGACGCTTGTTGGTCGAGGAACGGCTCTTGGACTGAAGTCGTCGTCATCGCCGTCCCAGGGGACCTTCTCATGAAGTACCGGAATAATGTCGTGAAGTTTGCTCAAGCGAACCCATCAAAGTACCAGAAAAATTATGTCCTCTGGGTCACAAGGATTAAAAGAAGAAATCAAGCTTCCTTGGTGCCAACATGGTCGGCGACAGCAAAATTGCCTACACAAGCGGCCACAGCCCCAGCTGCGAAGGTTTCGGATGTGTCTGCCCGACTCCAGTGCCGAGCAGCCCGTGCCAGCATAGCACTGGCAAATATTGCATTTTGGCGGCGCTTTTGCGGAAACATTTCGTTCACGTCGCTGGGTTTGATCCAGGCCTGGAACAAAGTAAACAGAGTAAGGAGGAGTGGTAGTACAAAACTTGAGAAATCAATGCGAGTCTTTTTCCGTATCCATGATTTGGAACAAACCGCCTTCGGTGGCCGGGAAATCTTCAACATTCAGGTCTATGGCCGTCGCCGAAGAGAATTCCTTTTTCTGGTGGTCTTAGGAATGACGAAGTCCGGCACCGCCGGGCTGCAGGAGGCTGTAGGTCGAGGTGCTTAATGGAGACCAGCACACACACCCCGGGTCCCGCTGATGATGATGTCCACCGGGAGCCGCAAAGGCGAGTGCAGCTTTGGTGAGAGGTCCGAAGTTGTAACCAGTCCTCGGGGGACATTGTTGGATCTTTCCTATCATGGCAGGACAAGGACCAGAAAAGCGCAGTTTTCTTGGTTATGTCAGTTCATTCACCACAATGCGAAAGCACGACTTGCCGCATCCGCCTGGTACCCAAGAACGAGCCCTGTCGAGGACACTCCCATAACGTCGCGTCCGTCCGGTACATCCTTGCGCAACCACCGAAAATGTTTGCGTGACCAAAGGCCTTCCGCACGCCGGTGCACTTGATTGCTTTCTTTCTCCGTCTCCGAGGCCAATCGCCAGCGAGAAGACATTGGTGCAACTAAAGGCTCTGCAACTGAGACTCCATTCAGCATCCTGAACGAGATCAGCGATAATTCGACCTGCCACCTGTCTGTGTTTCGGCGATGATCGGGTCTGTGCAGATATTTTCTTCAGATCCATCCGTTGATCGGCTTGGGGAGGAAACATCCAACGGCATATTGCACCCTTTGAGTGGTGGACCGCCTGCCTGGACTTCTAGAACACCGAGGCAGTATCAGAAGCCGTGGCGCCGCAGGCATCTTTACGGGATGTCGGGCGGTATACGGCCTGTGCTGGTGTCTCAAAATTTGTTATCCGGTTTGAGAACATTCAAGTGTCTGGCTTCCGTGCGCCCTCTTCCAAATCGTGGATACTCATCGTCTCTCCGCCGACATGCCGTGCGGCAAAAGGACATCTCTTCTCGGTAAGAGGCCTTCAGAATATGAGCGCCCAGGTCACCTAACAACGCGACCTAAACAGTTTGACTTTGACGACCACCAGCGCTGGCCAGTCCACGCTGCGAGTCAATAGCAGTCATGATCACGCCGCAGGGAATAGTGAAGTAGACGGGCCCCTCGGTGCATCCGGTCGTTATATACCAGGATGGAGTCGGAGGTTAGCAGTAGAGGAGCTGGGTGAGGGCGGAGGAGCTCCTGTCAAGGGGCCGCCTGTAAAGGCACCAGATCGGGGATCGGGAAACCCTCCTGCCTATACTGTAATGGGTCTCAGAGGCGGTGGTGGCTCCAGCCACCACTCTGCAACAGGGTATCTTCACGTTTTGGAGGGTACTGGGGTTGATAGACGACAGGTAACAGTGGTAGATCAAGTATTAAGCCTTTCTTGACAGAGAATGGAGTGCCGGTTGCATTGAGACATCCTATCTTGCGTTTCCAAGAGCCTGTGGCCACCTAACGCGATCATGCATTGCTGTTGTTGTTGGTGGTGGTGGTATAGTCAATGCCAACCTGCGGGACACACCCCTGTGCGTTCTCGCAGGTGTATGCCAACTACCCATCGATTTCTGGTACAATGCTTTTGCGGGAGGTGCACCCTGCCGGGATAGGGAGAACGCCTTCATCTTTGCCTGAATGTCGGAATTCAACCCGCTGGTACGCGAGGGTAACGTGCCTGGCCTTCTGGCTGCGTTGACAGGATCAAGCGGGGCGGATGAGAGGTTCGTGGAAGGAGACATGCTGTTTCCAGGCGAGCCCAGCGATAGGAGCATGGAAGGGGACTGCGGCGGACGCTGTCGGCGAAGCCTTAAAGGACGATTTGACTCTGAAGGTGGTTATTCAGGAGATCTTGAGGTTTCGAGAGAGAATGGCTACTAGAGCGGCGATCGGGCAACGGTATGGTTGTGAGGGTTTGGAAAGGGTTCTGTATCCAACTAGCCAACCTAGTAATAAGGAGGACAAATCCGAGGAGAGGAAAGCAGAAGGAAGAGTCGTCTTACTCGCTCTTTATATCGTACGCCTTTAGCAAGGGGGTTTCCGATATTGTCTCTCCCCCTTGCCTCTCTTATGTCTTGCTCCCTTGCGTACGTAGATTCTCGGCGCTGATTCTTCGGAACTTCTCCTTGGTTCAACCCATCGTAGAGGGGGAGTTCATGGAAGGAGACATACTGTTTCCGGGTGAGCCCAGCGACGATGGTTTGGAAGGGGACTGCGATGAGAAAGCTGTCGGCGAAGCCGTAAAGGACAGAGTTGGACTCTGAAGGTGGTTGTTCAGGAGATTTTAAGGTTTCGGGAGAGGATGACTGCTGGGGTGATGAGTCGTCCATGGTGACTGAGATGGTGGTGGTTCCGTCCTCGGAGGGAGTATCCAGTGTGAGAAGGTGAATGTACTGTATATAACTCGCTTCACAGAATGGCTTTGCCAGTGGTGAGCTATGGGGATGCATGTGTTGCTGTGCCCTGGTGCCCACGCAACTGCCGTTCCACATCACGATTTATCAAAACTGGCACCGGATGATTAAAGGATTTCATTCATCTATACTCGTATCTCGTGCGAAGAGCTAGGCTTCTGCTGTTGATTATGTCTGTAAGTCGCACAACCATTAGCCTGCCATCCTGCTCTGGCTGGGTGCGGACTTTGCCCTCGGTCAAAGTGAACTGGCAGGCTTCGCCCGAGAACACTGCTCCATATACTTAACTTTCCCCATATCCTTTTCATCCAGGAAGGACGGGCGCGGGTTTGCAACTTGGACTCTGGCTTCTCAACGACTATGCACAATAACCCGCCGTGTTTCCGCAAGAGGACGCCTATAACCAGTCGTGGCGGTGGGACATGGCAGCGGTCACGTGGCAATTGGGAGGGAATTTTCTGTTACATTATTAGATGTGCATCCATTCATACAACGTGTATGTATGGCCTTGTTTGAACAACAGGTTCGTGGCCAGGGGCCGACAACGAGGGATGAGAGTCCTCGAGAGCAAGCGCCCCTAGCGTCCGTCGCTCTTCGAACTCCACCCAACATGGGCGAGAACTTGTACAGGGCGGTCTCAATTTCTCGAGCATAGGGTTCTCAGAACTCGTACGGTCACAGGGTGGGGAAGGACTCGCAGAACACGTGCCACAATTCGTGGTCGCAGTAATCGTGTTTATTGAAGATGAACGTTCCCGCACCCACAGAGGGACTTGACATGCAACATGGGATTCCCTCAGACGCTCCAGCCGCAAACACGTCAAATCGTGTCCTGGCGGACTCCATCGTTCACCCTGGTTCGTTAATACACAAGGACCTCTCGTTCACTCGCTCTTCCATGTCATTCACGACCGCACGCCTGCTGCCTCGAGCTAGCTCTTTGCCGCCATCATTGCGCCAATTTTCTTGATCAACTCGCTGGTGTCGGAGAACAACCTCAGCAATTCCACCCTCCGTCAAGCACCGCAAGAGCCCTTTGCCATCAAACCAAAACGTGTCCCCCGTCATACAGGGCTCGATTTCCAATCTTTCCACGATGTAGTTGTCCACGAGGATTGAGACGCTTATTCAGATCGTCGAGGGTCGACACCACTGAAGCGTCTCTGGCGTAGGGCGGATAACGGGTAAGGAAGCTGCGAGTATGAAGGATCGAGGCAGAAAAAGATCAAAGAGTCGACAAGATTCCCCATCAAGACCGTAGAGGGCAGCATCCAGATAGTAGAAGAGAAGACCGATCGAACAGGGTGAGGACTCCGATAGTTTTCTGGGACTGGCACAGGCGACGAGGGAGATGAGGATACGACGCGACACATCTCGACCGCCTTGTTCCACTTCCTGCACAACCGGTCGGAATGGGGGACTCCAACAGTTGCCGACAGATCCGAGCTTAAGAAAAGCAGGATCGCTAGTCTGTACCGCGATCCAGAGCATGCTGGCCAGAAGTGCCGGAGTACAAGGCATAGGATTGGTAGGATGCAAGGAAGACTTCTTTCGGAAGATGTAGCAGTGTTATTCGCAACCGCCATTTCTCTCATGAACGTGGCTACTTCTTGGTATCTTCCGAAGTCTGGAAGGGTGGAGCTGAATAGGTAGAGACAGCAGAAAGCTATCAGCGCATACCCAAAGTCGGCCATACATAGAATATTCTGACGCCTGAAAGGGGTATAGCCAGGAGACATCGAGAACAAGGATGGGTAGATTCCACGGATTTGGCCAGGGATTCTCTGGCAACCTGAGCCAGGACGCGGTGAGATGCGGGATGTGCGTCAAGAGCTGATCTTGCCTTTTCAGCCTCCCGCCTGCGAGAACTCCCATTCACAGCCGGTATCAATCTGGATGAGTACCAGAAGATGGTCCAAACCCACAGCGACGCCATCATCACTCAAGCGACTCTGCCAGATCTGCCGGAATCCATCACTCAAATTACCTGCGAACTATTCGGGCTCGGCTTCCCTGGCACCCCACTTTTTTTCACTTGCCACACATCAGCAGCGTTTCATTCTTCAGTTCTTTGGTCGACGGTCTCGACGATTCATCCCGGAAGGACGCAGAAAAGTTGTTCGAGTGTCTGCTTCCTTGTCTCTTGTCTCTTGCTTGCAAATCCCAACAGCCTGCCATGCTGGGCAGCAGCTTTTCCAGAACATCCGGAAGCCTAGCAGTCCAGGCTGCCACTCGTTGCACGACGATCGGTGGCTTCGCAGCCCGCGAACACCGTTTGAGAGGATGGTGTCAGCGGGGGTCGTTCAGGAGGTCGGATGCGAAAGAGAACTGGTTGCGGCGAATCGTGGGCTCGTGCCTGACGTGAAACGTTTGAGAAAAGGAGGGAAGGGGGGTTCGTTCTTTGTCCTGATGAGCATTGTCGAGGCCAGTGTTAGCTGTCTTGGTCAATAGTACATTGTTGGGCCTACCTGGAGGTCGATTAAGGATTCGACAGCTGGGCTGGCATTGCTCCCAGCAGGACGGTTTGCTGAAAAGACCAAAACATTACATTGTATTGTTATTCCTCTTCTGCCCCAAAAAGCCAAGGAAAAAGGCCTTAGGCGGCCTTAGGCGAGCCCGGGCGACCGCGTCTCGGTGCTGATCACCCCTGCGCAGGCCTTGTGAGCCTTCGCCGGAACTTTTACAGTAGGTCCGCTAGAGTCACCGGCTTGGCCAACCACTACACCCCCGTGCTTTTGAGAAGGGTTTTTTCTATATATTTGCTATGGTAGAATAATACATTTAGGATGAACCGATAGCTCAGTAGAGACACTCTCGGAATATCGCGCATCTTCCAGATCAAAATCGCGTATACCTGCCCTTGGCTTCAATCACAGCGTTGACTCTCTCATCCGTCGACTTGATAGTACTCTTGATCTTCTTCCTATTGATCCTCGCCCATGCCCTTGAAATAGCAACTTGCAAATCGGTCGAGAGTCTCGTGCGAGTCTCCGGTTGTCTACTGAAGATCTGGATCAATGGCGTTAACCAGACATTTGAGCCCAAACCAAAGGTTTTCGATGGAGTTCAAATCTGGCGAAAATGGTGGCAATTCCATCACAGTTGTTCTATTGATATCAAGCCACTCCGTGACCTTTTTGGCTTTGTGAATATGTGCATTATCTTACATGAAGATCCGGTCAGGCTCCTAGACTGACCGGACATTATCTGCAAGGACTTTGGGATAGCAATTGGCTGAGTAACCCATATTTGCTGACTCCTAATCGAGCGACAAGATGTATGCATCAGAAGATGCGCTTCCGAAGATTGCAGCCCAAATCATGATAGACACATCTTTAAACATACCCCTAGTGTTTGCTTTGTTCCTATCCCATTCTTGATCAGGCGTGTAGAAGACCTATTCTCGCTTGTTTTCACTGCCGCGTTGGATAGAGCATTCATCGCTTCAGATGCCTTTCAGCCAATCCTCCCGCGTCCGGCCCCTATAGGCCATTTCCCATTGCAAGTGCTGTTTAGCATGTTCGTCTGTAACTCTGGGACGCGTTTTCGTAAGCTATTGCTTGATATTGTGGTTTTCAAGCAGGCGAGAAACTGTGTCATCGGACATTTCAAGTTGCAGCCCTTTTCTCAACTCTGGATGGGAGATTGTAGGTTAACGCTTGGTGGTGCGTAGATTGGATAGCCCTTGAGGTCGTCCAGTGCGAGCGTTCTTGTCTGGTTGTGGATTTTGTAGGATGTCATGAATAGTTGATTTTGGAATCCCAGTGATAGCAGCGATCTTGCCGACGGATGCACCCGACAAGTGCAGCCCGTATACAAGGCCACGCTGAAATTCAGAATGCTCTTTTCTACCAGACATCTCTCAAACAGATAAAACATCAAGTGAAGCATTGGTAGTTGAGAAATAATTGTTCGAAATGTCTACATTTATCCGTGGTGGTGGTAGTGGGTGCCAAGAGGTGAGTGTGCGGTGACGTTTGCGGACCTGCAACCAAACAATCATGCCTTTTGGTCACTCGGCACCTCTCTATCTGCACCACTCGTTCCCTTTACACATTCATTATCATGACTCTCAGATGTAAACTATTCGGTAATCTAAAGTCCCTCCTCCTCTACCTCCAGGGTAAGTGAGCCACTCCCCCAGATGGCCACGCAGTGCATTCTGTTTCGCCCTAGCGAAGTGGACAGAGAGACGTGCGACGCCGAACATCGGGTTGGGGCGGTGCATGGCGGACAGTCACTCATCGTTCGAACCGCTTTTGAAAGGCACCTTTTCTCCCGTCAAACTGCTGCTGATACAGTTCACTGCGTAAGATTCAATAACGAGGAGATCTCGTTCTGAGCACTCACCTACCGACCCATTGCCTCGAACCTTGTTCACCGCACAAACAAGCAGCAAGCCAGAGTCGACACCACTTCTCTCATTCTCACCCTCGACGGCTCGACCATCGAATAAAGCGGCTAGCTCGTCGGCGTGGCTCTCTCGCTCTCCGCCATCTGCGAAGCCCTCCTTTCCATGTACAATACCATGTACAATATCCGCACCGGCAGGGGAGCACACTCATTCCAGAGCGGGCTCGCGACGGTCGAAGAAACAACCAGAGCGACCGTCCGAGCCAGGGGACTTCTTCCCATCCCAGGGTGGGAATGGCCGAAATCGAAACAGTCCCGTCCCACTCCGAGCAGGTCACACCCTTTCATCAAAGGACCTGTTCTTTCCCCGGAGTCTTTCCCCGGAATCTGCCGATCGACCAAATCCACCTCATTACAGCGGCTCCTCTTCATATCTCTCCCAGCATCGACAGAATCCTTTGTTGAACGATGCAGCCAAGATTGAGTTCCTTCACAATAGCAAGGCATGCGAGATGAATGGGGCCCCCAACCAAGAAACCACCTACTCGTAGGTTCATTGCTTAGAGGATTCCGGGCCCGGCTTGGGAGCAATCTCTCACAGCATCGACGAGCAAGTGAACGAGAAAGGACACAGACAAGTCGGCACCCTCCTATGGCAGGATTAACACCGGACATTGCATTTCGAGGGCAGTAACGAAGCTTACTGGACAACGCCAACGGCTAGGTCACGCCTAGGGCACTCACCTGCTTGACAGGATCTCGGGTTCTGGAAAGACGACTTTACTGGACATCCTCGCACAGCGTCATCGTACAGTCGGGAAGGTTTCGGGCAAGATCACGTGCCTCTCAAGCCATCGTTCCAGCGAAAGACGAGATATGTCCAGCAGCAAGATCTCCGTCTGCCCTTCAGCACAGTCCGCGAAGTCCTGCATTTCCCGGCTCTATTACGCCAACCTGCACCAGTGCCACAGGCAGAGAAATTCGAATATGTTAAGGTGATCGAAGCTCTCAAATGCAACACTTCAGCGATGCAGTCACTGGGTTGGTCAGCCCAGCGAAGAACTGAACATTGAACAAAGGAAACTTCTGACAACAACCCACGCCGATGCGCAACGGGACATCCACCTGCTGCCTAGCCGTCTTGAAGAAGGAGAAGGAGAAGGACTCCTCGAGCGGGACGTCGACGTGTACATCACGTCCGTCTCCTCTTCGTCCACGACCGGGCCCGTCAACTGGGTGGTTGCGCCTCGCGTTTCCATGAGGAAGATGAAAGAGGACATCATCAACGTCCGCCCACTCGGCCACCGGCCCAGTCTCGGCTCGATCGTCGACGAAGTCTTGAACTCCTCTTCTTCTTCCTCGCCGTATCGCGGGGAGCGAGTGCCGCTGAACCGCGACGACGAAGCCACGGTCTTCGTGTGCGGTCCGCGCACGCTGTCTCGCGACCTGAGGGCCCTTGTCGGCCGGCGCGTCTGAGATCCGTCGCCTCAGAGCCTGTAATTGGGATGAGATTGTTGATAGGGTCACGTGATGGTGAGTTACTCCGCTGTCGGTGCTGAGTCTGGTCGATGTTGCCCTCAAACATGCCTGTCAACACTTTGGTCGTGCCCACGATATTAGGGACGATTGATGGCAAACTGGCTCGTTTGAGATGTCTTGAGCCACTGCCCAATCGCCTCTGGTGCCGGCGCGACTTCTCTTCCTCTTCTTTGGCCCTAATGAAATCCACGTCTGGTGAAATGTTCGTCGCGGATTCCAGAATGACGTCTCGTCACGACTGACGAGTTCTATGCTAATGATGAAAAGGTCTTCAGACAAGAAGCATATGAACAAAAGTTCAAAGAGCAGGTTGAGAAACTAAAGACCGGGCAAGGCGTCCGAAGACAAAGACCAAGGCAAGACCGGCACTGGAGCCATCGAGCGCGGCACCGGACGAGTGGATGTCCTCGCCGGCGATCTTGTGCAGCCACTTGACGATGTACTCGGCCGTCTACGTCATGCGGGTCACCAGCGCGGTTTTTGATGAGCTGGCTCGCAACAACCGCGTCTTGAGGATCTTTCGGCTCCGGTTCGCTAAGCAACGATTGCACCGAGATCATCGTACCATCAAGCGAGAGCAAGGATCAGACATGCCAGCAGAGAGATCGTTTTGCCCCATTGAATGGCCATCATGCGGATGCCGCCTGCAATGGCGGGAAGGCACCAGATAGATCCTCAATAGGTATTGCGCCTGAGAGTTATCCTGGCCACTATGGACTGTCGCTCGCCCGCCGGTGTGAAGTAATGTCAATTCTGTGATCGTCGCATTTCGGTCCCAGCGACAAATCCAGGTAATTCATATCTGCTCCCGCAGCATGTCGAGCGGAGCTAAGGGGACAAGAGACGTGAGTGCTCGCTGACGAGAGGAACGTCCAAACCCCTTCAATCCGTGTCCTTGATCTACCATTTCAACCTGTCAATGTGCCTTGTCAATCCAGAAGGTTCCTCACAGTAATCTCTACCATCACCAAGTACGAGGACATATCGCAGGAAATCTCCTCGAGTGCATGAACCTCATCGCCGCAGAGGGCCAGGCCGCCGGGCCAGCAATCTCTATGACTAGTGGCACTACTTGTCCATGGACATCATCTACGAGCTCTCCTTCGGAATTGGGTACGATATGCTCCACAAGGGAGACGAGAACCCGCCCACATCACCGGAGAAGGGACAAATTTCTTTAACCAAACACTACGGAACCTCCACGGAGACAGGAAGAAGACTGCAAAGGGGGTCAGAGAGTCCAGATGTCAGATCATTGCGTGCGGCGCCATGTCGATTGGATCTCCACCTTTGCATGCTTCGTACCCATTCACTGCGACCACGCACAACCCATCCATCCCACAAAGGCGTCATCGTCTTATCACAACGGAGGTCATCTCCGAAGTCAAGTACATGTATTACTCTGCGGACTTGGCTCAACGAGTCACTAATGCTCTCGCCGACGAGGCATTTGCCAGGCCTCTCAGCGCACCGAAGCCGAGATCAACCACAGAGGGGCCGGCGCCCATACCCACGGAGGAGGATGGAGATGTCCAGAACACGGCACCCTAGCAGCAGCCGCAGCATCGACAGAGGGGCGAGAAGAGGAGCCTCAAGCAGCGCGCAAAGTACACCGACGAGCCCGAAATCAAACAAGAATTATTGCCGCCACCCCGTCGAAGCTCTCTAGCGACCTCACTCGCGAGTAGCTTCAGTCGCGAAGCGGGCAACGAAGTCGTTCCAGTCTCGGGGGATCCCAACATTGTCGTACTGCCCCGATTTCAAGACGTTATGCGACGCAGCACCTTCAGCTCCAATCGCGCTTCGATCACCTATATCTCGGACACTTGGACATGCAATGGTCAAGGACGAAGCAACTATCAAGGTGGAGGATCCGGAGGAAGCTGTGATCAATTTTGCCAGTCAGAGCGATCTGTGATCTCATGCCTGTGAATATCTCGACTCTCATGTCGGCAAGGCATTTCCTCTGATGCAAGCTAATTCAAGTGGATTTCTGTCAGTGACATCTTGGCTGGGCCGGGATGTGCTTTCCTCGTTCCCGGTCTATGGATATCATCTAGATGGGTTGGACCAGGGAACGGTAATATACGACAACACCAGTGCTCAGTACCACCTTCCATACCATCCGACATCCCACCCGTTCCGCCTCTATATCCAAATCCATTGGGAGTCACTCAAACAACCTTTTCCAGTGCTGGTAAGCCCGACCCTCTTGAATTCTTCCCTATTGCGATGCAGTCCACTCGATCGTAAGGAAGATATGAGATACCCGTATCGCTCACCTCATTCGCGAGCACGAAAAACCAACTCGATCAATAAGTGACTCATATGAATATCAATTGTTCCTGCCAACTTTCGTGACCGCCCGAAGAACAGGCCCAATATTCAGCCGCCACACGAACAGACTGGCCACCTTGTCGCCCCGCCGCGCCATACAAAAGATGCGTCTTGAGGATGGACCATCCTTACCCGTGGCTATCCACATGCCTGGGCTTGCGGAATTACAAGGCATTTGTCCTCTTTCTGATCTATGCGTCTCTGTTCTGTTGGGCCTGCTTTTTCAATGCTCCTGAAGCCTTCAAGCCATCGGTGGCTGATCCGAAGGGGTGGCCAGCTGTGCGAACGAAAATGACCAGGAGGTGCAGATTAATGTGATTGTCGTCGACTGCTGGGACTCGGAGGTTGTTTGCATCGGGTTCTTGAGGCAAAACATCACTTTTGGCACCATCCGACTGACATGGTGACGACCTCTTGCGAGGTGCCAGTGTCATCAGCTCACCCAGGTCTATCACACCTCTCTGTTTGCCTCTTCGTGGTGACAACGAGAATTGTGCGAAACAAACTCACTCAATTGTCCTTTGCTTCGTGCGGGCGCCCTCCCCTCCCCGCCCGGTCACAAGCACCTCCATTTACTCCGTATTCCAGCTTCTGACAAGAAGCCGAGCACGTCGCTTGTTGGCAGCTCAATGTCGAGGTGACTACTATGCTGCAAGGGAGCCTGGTCGTCGAGATTCAACCCGATGCAATGACAACAGGATGTGCAGCTAGCAGCAGGTACCAACCTTCTCTCAAAGAGCCATTGCCTACTGCAACGATAACGTCTGAACAGGATGGTTTTGAGGGAATAGAAGGAGATTTGGAGGAAGAGCAGATCCAATTCGCCGAGAACGCAGTGGTTGGATGGCCGTCATGAGCTCCTTGATCACGGGATGCCAGCAATCGTCCGTCGCCTCATCTGATGATCCAGGGCTTTTCGACAATCCGAATTGTGCTATGATGGTTCGGCTCCCAGTACGTGTCGACGAGAACACGCACACGGGTTCGGCAGTGACGGCCTCGAACGACGTGCGCAGGGTGCCGCAGGAACTCGTCGGCGTCCTTGTCGGCGACGTGGAATGTTACGTGGAAGCGCCGGATCGCTCAATGCAAACCGCCAAAACTGCAAATGAACAAAGGTGTTCCTGTCATCGGAGGCCGACCACGCTCTGACATGGAATGTAAGCACAACGCCATGTCGACTGAGCTAAAGGGGAGCTTACCATCTTGAGGGTCCACACTTTGAGTTCACCGTCGACTCCCTCGACGTCTGTCAACTCAACGCCCTCCCGCCGCCATCTGCGAGCAGGGTTGCACCAATACAGCAGTAGCTTTCGAGCCATCAACACCTGCATCAAACCGGCCGCCGGTGACGTGGGAGGAGTACCTATTTGTTGGCGTAGAAGTTTGCTTCTCGACCTTTACGAGGGCTCTATCAGGACATATGTGGAATCACTATCCAACCAAGTCGCCCATCGAAGTCGGCTCAACCGCAAAAGACTGGTCCGCCAGATGGTGAGAGATGTGTTCTTCAGAGTATTAACATCCGTCTTCGAGACGGCTCCTCCACCGCTCGCTTCTCCACGACCATAGTGGAATATCGGCAGGGGCCAGCCAAGCCCCATCTCCGTCCATAACTCCGGACTCGGATCCAGAATCGTCACAGGCGCCGACTCATGAGACCCTTCCAGGAACAGAAGAACCAGCATGCGCAAAATTTGCACACGAGACTTACCTGTTGCTTTGCCACTATTATGGGCGGGCTCCCTGCTTCGTCTCTGGCGGCGTTCTGGCAGGTCATGCCAAATCGCACTCGGCCGGACTTCAAATTCCAACTGTGTACCATATGGCTGTAAGCATCTTTCCAGCCAGTGAACTTGCGTAGCACTGGCCCACCGTCTAGGTACCGTGAACCGGTCAAGGAAAGCGCCAGTACCGCTGTCTGTAGGTCGCCGAAGCGCTGAACACAGCCGCTCATCAGGTCGAAAGCAGTCTACGTCGCCGTACCAGACACAACAACGTTAACGTACGCACCGTCACCTGGAGGGATTTGCGTCAGTGAAGTGGATTTCCCTCATGTCTTGCTTGCCACATGAACCGCTAGAGGCCTGTTCTTACACTGAGGGGGGCTGCGAGTCCGCTGTAGCAAAGAAGAAGTGCTGAGCTTGACAGGTTGTACGCATTAATCGTCTCATAAGCACGAAAAGGATATGGACCGCCTCAGGGAGAGCGCCTTGGACGGTGTGTTCTATCCTGAGTGGTAGAGATTGGAGGAGCATACAGAAGGCAAACACGAAAATAGCGTTCGTACACACGAGAGCGTGGAATCACGGATGGGAACCGAGGAGGAACAACTCCACGGAATACGACTGAGTGGTCATCAAACTCGGCTGTGTGGCAAGACGAGAGTCTGGATAAATGTGTGGGATCCTGCATCACAGAAACTGCACGCTCGGGTGCCGGAGTCAGATCCAGCAGAGATCCAAAAAGCCTTGACGGTGGCGGAAGCGACGCAGTCAGCTTGGGCGTCGTTGCCTTAGCGAAACGGAAAGCCATGGCCTTTTCGCTGCTGCGTGTTTTACAGCAGCGCACAGTCAGTTCACTTTCAACAGTTGCTGCAACTGGAGGTGGGCAAGACACTGCAGGGTGCCGAGTCCGTGTTCGAGAGAGGAATTGATGACAAGTTAATTTACGGGAGTCCTGTTGACAGTCGACGTTGTTTGGTCTTACAGCCAGTCGATTTCCATATCGTGCGTGAACTTGGCAACAGACTCGTCACAGACGCGATCGATGCCGATCGTTCGACTCACAAGCAGGAGCTCTATGTCTTTTGGATTTTGAGGGATGAAATTGTTGGTGTAAAAGTTTGTCAAGCTGGTTCTGTTAATGCCGCCCGTCATCTGCGTGCCCATCCGAAACAGTCGATATGTAGCTGGAACGCAGGGGTGGGCGGCTCAAGGAGACATGTTGTTGAACAAGAGGATCCGGCTCCTAAGATTTTTCCCTGGCCTGCAATGCAGTCAGCCGGCCACTGACCCTCCGAGGGTTGTTGTAGGTCCTTTGTCGCGCCCACCCAAAGATCTCGACACACTCGCAAGTGATCTTTTTGCCTGGGGAGCCGGGGGGGGGGGGGGGGGGTCCTTAAAGATCGGATCACCCTCATTTGCCATCACCTACATGCATAAGACACAATAAGGAAAGCTAACATGCCTCTCCCGCTAGACTCGAAATTTTGCAAAGTGCTGGAGCCGCTGCTCCCGCCGGTGGCGACTGCGCCGAAATTGGCTTCAGAAGATGCTGCCGGCAGGCGTCAAGCAATGGTCATTTTCTTTGGCCCATTCTTTCGCGCAGTGCCTGACTCCATAGACGTAGGCGAGGCGGTGTTCAATGTCAAATCCAGCGACGATAGATCAGAACAATCTTAGGCGTGGGGACACCATAAAAGGTCCGCCTCTGCGTATTCTCTCACTAGGTATGAATGGTCATGTCTCGGCTTTACATCTCTGTGTTATCTGCGCTCGGCTTGCTGATGAAACTAGATGACGGCGGTTTTCGCGGGTTTCGATGCTTATCATCCTCCAAGAACTCATGTTAGTGATGGATATCGTCTCGATGCACTCCAGCTCCGTCGAGTACGTGTCCCGCGCGTACTTGACGTCGATGCTGTTGCTCTTGATGATGGTGCTCAACACCACCGGCTCGATAGTTCACAAGGTCGCCACGACGTCGGGGCACTCCCACCTGACTAGCGGCATAAACTTACGCTCGTATCCCTCCACGACCGGGTGGAAGTTCATGCCCCCCCTGAACACGTCTACGATCATGGCGGTGGACGACGGTACACTCCTCTGCCTGAACATCATCGACAGCACCTCCGACGCCGTCAGCAGCGACAACTCACTCATGGTGGCGTTCCTGATCGTCCTCACAAGCTCGCTAGCGTTATTCCTCCTGTACCTCTCCTGCTACGCGTGTCCGGTCGAGGTCTTGAGCCTCGTCGAGCTAATCCTCAAGCTGTCGAAGCCCCACGTGGAGTACATGTCGGCGACCTCGGGATGATGGTCACGTATAGGGTCGTGGGTGCGTCAAGAGCTAGTCGTGCCTGCACTCGTGAGCGTCACCGTCAAGATGTCCATGAACGTGATCAGCTCCGACATCAACACGATCGGCGCGGAGATGAAGTGGTTGGAGGACAAGCCAAACACCATGCTGAGAGGCAGGTTGGCGTTCAGCGGCAGGATGGGAGACCCGCTGACGGTCCAGGAGTTGCTCACGATGGCGCAGGAGAGTAAGGGGTGCAGCCACGCGACCAACCTGTGCTTGGACCAGAGCTTGTACTTGACCCATTATCTCGAGCGCGAGCACTGACACCTTGCAGGACATGGTCCGTTCGTCCTCATTGACCGCGATCGTCAGTGCCAGTCGAGGAAACTGCCGGAAAAGAGCCTCGAACAATTAACTGAGGCCGGACGGTGTTTGATGCGTCCATAGCATCCAGCCACACCAACAGAGCAGCAAGACGACGGAACAGACAGCCGCCACACTCAACAGGGCTCTTGAAGAGCTTGGGAGGCAGGGCGCGCCCTACCGCGTTCGGCGTTGCCCAAACGGTGGTTTTTACCTTGAGGTTGGGATCAGAACCGCCTCGGGACGTCGAGAGCACATCCACGCTTCTTCCATTCCTGGGATCGCGCGCTGTCAATCGGAATTGCCCTTCGCCTGTGGGCCTCACCAAGAGTGTTTCGAAAAGGCTCCCGCTCGATTGCAACGGTTCATGGGCTGAATGAGGTCGCTCGCTGGCTGCTCGAACTGGGTTTATGGCACATGCACCGTCTCTTCCTCTTATACGCACACAGGACCGGAACGATAGAGGCTGGACACCACATGCTTGACTGGGTATGCTAGATATGCGGCTATCTTTTGTTTTTCCAGCCTCGCTATGCTTTGAATTGCCCATGATCATGCACACCTCCCGCTCCACGTCGTTCAAAGAAGCGCCCTCCAGAGTCATTGGTCTCGCTGCCGTTACTGTCAACCTGTCTCGACCTTGCCGCTATCGTACGCCGGCAGAGTTCGTTGCTCACATCACCCCCCCGCCCCAGCTCCCGAGCAGCGTGGAGTGATCCTGCATTGGCAACAGAATTTGGTGTCAACCATAACTTCCCTGATCTTGGGGCTCGCAATGTGAAGATCTCTCTGGGCCACCATACGCCAAAGAAGCTAGCATGGCTTCTACGACCACCATAAACAGCGAAGCGCGTTTCATCACTGATCATATCCGCCGGCCCAGTGATATTGATGAAGCTCTTTGGCGTTATGAGAGGGGTTTCCTCCATCTCTGCACAACAATCAAGTTCAACCCCAGCAAGCCGCAGCAGCCGCAGCAGCCATCGACGACAACGACGACACCGACTCTGACTCCGGCATTCATCAACTACAGTCTCGAAGGGAAAGCGTTGTATGGGGACTGAGTGTAACTCCAGCATTCGGCGCGTCTCGATGGCATTGGCTGCACAGTTCGTCGAATTGGGTTCTGATTTTGGCGGCTCATAAAAGATGAAAACGACGAGATGCTGGCAGGATTCATCCCTCGGCAGCCTTACAACCAATACCAAACATCGCCGAGGACAAGCTCGAAGATTGAAACGATCAAAGAGATTCGAAGTAGTCAATTTCTCCGGCAAAACCAATTCCCGGAGCGATCGTCGGATCTCATCATGTCCATGTCGATGGAAGCGGGTTCATGGGGAGTCGGCCGAGAAGTGGTGGGCAGAAAGCAAAAGGGAGTGGCGCACTGCCTGATGCCTAAGTTGAAGGGGTTTGCTGGCGATCATCTGAACGAAGGCGCAGTCCCGCCATGACCCTGTTCTTCGACTCACCCGCCAACATCACCACCCACGTCTTAGTACCAGACACCCTCTGAGATGAGAGGCTAGTGACCAGTCTTCGAAATACGGTCTCAACTACGTAGGCTGCATACAAGCAATTTCTGCCGATGTATGCCGAAGCTCAGATGGAACTCGTCCACTTTCTCTGCCAGACGGAGGATCAAGTGGTGCGCGCGGACTGCTGGTGAGCGCAAGTAAACCGGTCGTACGCAGCGAACCAGATATCCGTCAAGACCAGAGCATGCATTTCGTTTTCCCGTGTCCAGATTTCAACCTCCGGACAGCACACAGTATATCGAAACAAGCGACATTGGTTTTCTCGAAGTATTAATGTCGTGCAGAACCTCTCAACGTGCGAGCAACATTAGCTTTCGGCATGGTGAAAAGACCATCAGGAACCAATGCTTACCGGCGCTTGATCGGCGGTGAAGTGCTCCGTTAGAAAGCCTTCGGAACACCAGTACCGTTGGATTTTCGTGGACCGTAATTCGACCTGCTCAACGTGGCCAGCATCCACGACGCCAGCGTCCCGCTCCTCGACGACGCCGACTTCTTCCAGCTGCGCATCTTCATGGCCTTCTTCTCCACCTGGAGGGGTGCCGGCGGCCTTTTCCTTCTTCTTCTCTTCCAACTGTCTTTGCTTCTTGGTGGCCGTCCATAGCAGAACTGAGAAGGTCAACCGGTCAGGATGGGCTATAGAGTCTTTCATACCGTGAAGCTTCCTTTGTCTCCGAATTCCCCATGGTGGACGTGTTTCTAGGTCGATGGGCAACCTCTTGCTACTGAACGAGTAGTGCTACTCGCCGAGCTCTCGCGCTTCAAGTATCGTGTCATTACACGGTCTCCGGACCTGAGATGATTGTCATGGACTGCACCTGCTGGATCCTCGCTCTCCAGGGCCTGATCTTTTCGTTCATACCTATTTGGCTACAATACCTCTACACCTTGTGAGTGCCGATGGCGACATCTCTGGTGCCCGGCAGACAGTCCCCAAGACCGCCCTCAGGACTAAATGCAGGATCACCTACAAGATCACCTTCAACCACTCCGAGGCCCACCTCTAGTAGACTCTACTCGCTTTGCTGGTATGATGTCAGTCACGTGCCATAATTACGCTGACGGAGTTATGGCACGTGATATTCCGCTCCTTAAATCGCCCCAAGTCAGACCGTCTTCAGGATGACATTCAAGACCACCACCAGGATCATCTGCAGGGACCCCCTCAGGTCCACCTCCAGGGCAACGTCTAGGACTGCGTCGAGGAGGACCTCGAGAAAGACCCTCAGACCCATTGCGCCCTTGGAAAGTCTCTCCTCGCTTCGCTGGCACCTTGAGGAGTCCCAGTTGGTTCACGCCTCACAGTCTAGTAAAGATATCGAAGAGTGAACTGCCTCCGATTGAAATACCTTCGGAAATGGGTGAGCGTCATATCAAGTTTGCCGTGCAATGTGAAAGGCAGGGAAGACCTTTCAAGTCGACCGAGTGCGGGACACACAAGATTGTGCAGAAGGTCTTCCGTCCAGTATACATAACTGACTGAATATGTATCGCGGTATCACGGTATCATGAGGCTGACGCCACCCGCAGAAGGCTGGATGCCCATTCATCTACCCTACTGCCACCGCTTGCATTAATTAGACTTCTTCCGTACAATTGCACTTCTGACAGTGATTCCTCCTGTTCCAGGTTGCGCCGTGATACTCCACTCAGTCACAGTGTCACGGTGTCACGGTTAGCCAGCACGCACAGGCTTGGCTTGGCACACAGGCGAGGTATTTATACCCCTGAGCTCTCTCCCTCTCTCTCGTCTTCTCTTTCCTCAGCTCAATCTGCTTGTATATATATATATATGGCAAGCCACAAGCTTAGAGCTTTCTCCTTGCCCGGTTGCCTCGTCCGCACCCTCCGCTCAAAGCTGGGACAGTCCGAGCTGCGATGTCATCGTTTTCGCACGGATTCCTTGTCGTGCCGTCTTGTACTCTGGCGCTCATGTGCTCTCTGGCATGTCCATCGAGGACATGGAGGCTGCCGAGATCTTGAACAATCTATCTGAGAGTGGGCCGAAAGAAATGCGGGTTTGTTGATCGCAGGAACGGTGACCAGAATATCAGGTACTTGAAGTGGTCTGCGCCGGGCGCTACAACCCAACCGCGATGGGCGACCTCCGAGTAAAATCTCCGAGGTCGAGAAGTGCTACTCTGACACCTCCGACGGCACCAACGGACGGACTTCTGAGGCGGGTCGCTCGACTCTCTGCCAGCCTACAACGACGTGGCTCGCTTACCTCCTTACACTGAAGAGCAAGTGCCCTTTAAAAACCGCGACGATCGCCAGCCGCCGCCTAGTTGGCGCCAACAACTCATGATCTCCACAAGCGGTCTGGACCTTGCCATGAGCAAAGAATCCATTGCAGCCTGTGATACTGTCAGACGCTACACCAACAGAAGATGGATATCAATCGGTTCGGGGCTCCCGAACTCCTCCAGCAATACACTCCTTCCCCACGGTCATCCAGGCGCTCGAAGGAGTTCCTGTTGCCCGGGACACGGGCACTGAACACGGGGTGTCGTGAGCACACTGACAGACTAAGAATGAGAGAGTGAAGTTTAAAAATCCTTCGCCTTGGATAGTTTGGCAGATCCACTCACACGGCCGGCGAAACTCACCGTCTTTCGCATGTCCCTACTTTTCGTGCCAGGCCTCTTCCTTCTCCTGATCCTTTCCGACATCATGGCCAACAACGGCGACAACAACGTCAGCAGCAACGAATGAAGTTTCCTGCCAGGTGGTGAGTCCCGACACGAGCTGTATAGCTGTTTTCTCTAGAACAGCCGCGCCGGGGTCGAGGCGGTCTTATACAGTGTCTATATATACTTAGTTACGGAATACGTTACTCTATGTGACCTTCCTCACTTCATCTTTACCAAGAGACGAAATGAGATCAGTGCAATGAGCTGGTGGGCAACATGATGGCCAAACACCCGAATCCTCGATACGGCGGCCTTCACGAAGTGTTGATCCGGCACTTCCTCACACCACCTCGACAGCTATCTACAGTCCTTTCCAAGCCAAAATCCCATCCATCGAGATATCAAACCTCAGAATCTCTCGCTGAACCTGTCCCCTGACCGTTGGAAACGATGTCGGCTTGCAACCGTAGTTCAGCCGGAAACTGGGCGAGTTGCACCACGAATTCGAAGAGATCCACTAGAAGCTCCCTACTTCTTCCGAGGAACTTTTCGCACACGGCCGAGGGGGTATGTTGTGCAAAAGGCTTTACCAGCAATCCCCCACAAGTCGGCGCTCCCCGGTTGCTTTGCGCAAAACAACAATCCCATGGACGAAAGAAACAACCAACCTTGACCGTTTCACTGCTACCGTGAATGGATTGGAACGAGGATTATTCACGGAGCGTACTTCCACTCCGCCTCAATGCCCATACGGTTGGCCAGCACCCAACGGCATGGCTTGGCGCGACCGCGGTGAGTTCAACCCATCGTATCAACGCTGTAAGTTGCATTTTCTCTTTCTCTGTCTCTGACTCACTTCTTACCTTTCCTCAGCCGGATCTGCTCGTGAATATATATATATATGTACATAAGCAACAGATGCGTTGAGCAAGCATCACTTTATCTCGGCTTCGGCAACGCAAAGCTTGAAGTTCTTCCAGGCTCGAAACCTTCGGACGTAGCCGGCGTAAAGTTTTTCAGATCTGCGAGTGAAAAATTTTTCGCGACTCCTTTTCCGCTCTTAAAGGACCTTTTTTCCTTCCTGTCTTTCACATGACCGTCATCCTTCCTAGTTATCGCCACCAACTTTACAACATGTCGTCCGCGTCCACTCCGGAGCGCACGCCTGTCGCTGAGCTACTGCTCGTGTCGCCGATAGCGGTCGGTGGGCTGAGCGTCTCTCCTACAAAGCGTCAAATCACGCCCACAGCGGAAGCGACGTCACCAAAGAAACTCGCAGTCATCACCAGCCACGGAGCCGTGAGCCCCTTCGTCAACAGTATTGCTCGTTCTACGTTCCCGAATCCGTTCGGATGGCCTGTTCAGGCGGAACTGGCCCACATCGGTAAGGACCTGCCCCCTCCTACAAATGCAAATAATAACCTGGTTCTCTAGATGAGCGGTTGTGTCTCTATAATCACATCGAGGACCCGCTAGAAATGAACACGCCAGAACAAGTTCTACAACAGTCACCACCCCTGGCACACCACCTGATTTTCCCCTTTGACCTTCGAAACGACGAGGGCAGCTGGGCTGATCCGGATAAAGAGCCTCTCCTGAGAAGTGTCTTTCCAGGAACAACTGGTATCGGTAGTAACGGGTGGTTTATACTTCTTCTACTACGTTCGTTGCCTCCGAAGCCTTGGCCACTTACAATTGCCGGATTACCGCTGTATTTCCACACGCACGATACTTTCGGCCAAAGCCCCCTGCCAAACGGAAAGCGTGTGACTCGGAAGAATGGTTCCGTCGCTGAAGATCAGGATTACCGAAACATAAAGGACTGGGAGCCCCTCTTCCATGTCATTCGGAAATTCTTCGAAGATATTGGCATCCCGATAACAGAGGTTATGTACTTGGGTAACTTGGTATATATCGTCCTGGAGTACCGTCAGACTGATATGACTATAGTGCCGTGGTTGGTGGGTAGAGTCGCGTGTGTCTACCTATACGAAGATGAGATGGGGAGACCGTCGAACCTATATACCCGCCGCCAGCTTGACCCTACGCCAGAAAGCCCAGATATGAGCAAGTACGATACTCTACAGCCAGGGTTGAGAGTGGTGTCAAACTCCCCACCACAACTAGGCGATCCCGACACGTATCTCGAGACAACAACCGGCGTTCTTCTGAGGGATAGTGTTGGCAACGAATTCATGACTGTCGCCGCACATGGATTCCCTAGCGAAGCTGGGACGGTGGTCATCCACGCATCACCTTCCGGCCGTGTGATAGGCGAACTTATCTCAGAGGTTTCACCAACAGACATTGCTCTCGTCAAGTTAGCGAAGACGGAGAAATTCTCTAACGTCACGTTCCCGAACGCGCGAGTGCCGGTGCTTATCCAGCTCAAGAGATTAGGGCGAGCCAAATGCTTCAGTGAGATCTACCTGGATTCACCCGATACAGGCCTCATTGACGGTATCTTTATGCTTCAGTCACGCACCAGGGTCCCCAACGATGATCACGAGCCGAAACCGGAATGGTTGTTTACAAGCTGGACCTACATGGGCGTAGACGCAGCAGCTAACTTACCTGGAGGCATGTGCGGTAGTGCTATGTGGGATGCGGAGGGCAATGTCTTGGGCTTTTTCAAATACGCTCCGGTCGAAGGAGTGATGACGGACTGGTGCGCTGGAGTTGCTGCGGATGAGCTCATCAACAGAGGGTATACCCTCGTCGACACCGACGCGAGATAAGGTTACCTTCAGGCATCGTGCCGGTGCACTGCCACCCATAATTAGTTTACGCACTCTGCTGCTTGCCTGGCTATTCATGAACTATCTTACTCTTTGGTGATATGGCTTCTCTTTTCATACTCAGATTTTCCCTGTGGCATACCATGTGCTTCGCGGTTACTGACACCATTCTCCTTGGGATTGCCCCAACTTCATATATGAACCCACCCAACTCCCACGAACGAAAGGCTCAAGAACGAAGGGGGCTGATCGCCAACCTCGTTGTGTGGATGGGGTCTGACGCCTCGAGGGGGTGACCTCTGAGGGATCTGGTAACGTCCAGCGCTCAACGGCCAATCATTCCACTTCCTGCACAAGAGGAAACGGTCTGAGTGCCAGACGAATGCACGATCGGGAAGGCCTTACCGTCCTTTGTCCGCATTGTTGACGATGCGCCGTGGCTGGTTGGCTGGGAGAATGACCGGACCGTCCGAGAGGAGCTAACCGGCCGAATCTGGGGGACGCCAAAGACATGGGGGACGGAGTATCATTCTGCAGAAGCCCTGGCTGCGGAATTCGGAAAGACTTGGGATGGTCTGGGTCGAAGGAGGGGAAGCGCTTTCAGAGTTCCCTGGATACAAGGCCGGGAAGGTTGGAAAAGGATATGGCTACGTCGGTAGTGCCGTATGGGTGGGGAGACTAGATGGAAACAGCCTGAAGACGAGTTTGCGGAGTTTGACGAAGGCAGTGACTGAGAAATCTCCTGACTGTGATCAAGAAGATGCGGGAGAAGAATATGGACAGTTGGAGGTGTAGATCATTTGAGTGGTAGCTTTGACCCGCAGAGTCTAAGTGCGACGCCGAAAGAAAAAAGGGCAAGCCACTTGGCCACTTTGGTTTATCAATGGCTCGCTTGGGGACACTCCGAGGGGCTCGAGGTTCTCCGGGGTTTATCATGAAGCGAGACCCTTTGAGCTTGTTTGCCGCGAAGGATTGGAAAAAAAGGGGACAGACATATTTCGTGCAGCAACATGGTACCCTGGATTTGGGAAAGAGACAAGTGGACATGAAATGCAAGGGGGCAAGATAATAAGAGTTGTGCTGCGCATGGACTAATCTAACTGACTTTGAAACATCTCATGCAAAGGGTGTACAGATAAGTCAACAAGGCTTGACATGAGGAAGAGGAATCACTGACAAGGTATACCGCTTACTCGAATCTAGCAGCCAGAGAACCGCAAGAGAGGCACGGCTGCATGCCCCTTTAGTTTCATCCCCCTTCCAGCCCACGAGTTCCCGACACAACTACGCAGCATTCTCGGTCGGACCTAGCCTGGAGCCACACAGTCTAGCCTGTCAAACCGGGTTTTGTGTGATCATGGGATACGGATGCCTGGCTCGTCCAACATGCGGCAGTTGAACACCTCAACGACAACTTGGCGCAGGGAGAACACTTGTCACGCGGATATGAGCATGGACAGCACATCAAAACCATGCAACAGGATTACCGAGCTCGAGTATTGATGACTCTATTCCACCATTCTGTGGGATTTTCAGTGCTGCAGAAGTAGACCTACCGTTATCATTTGACAGCTCTGCCACATGCAACCTCGTCGCTTTCAGCCAGGTTTTTCACCTCATACATGATACTCCTTGCACAGATCCAACGAACTCATTCTGAGCATTCAGGATGACCGCTCGCGGCCCTATGTTGTAGGGAATATTAGTATGGATGCAACCGCACTATCGCTCCAGTCGACGATGAAGTCCCGCCACATCTTCAAATGGTAAGGTGTACCGAGCAGAGTTTGCAATGATCTCCAGCAGCCCTGGAGTTCGAGGCAGGGTCTCAGTCTTTCTGGAACAGGTGAAAGATCGATGATCATCATATATACGCATCGCGCCAGGTGTTGGTCGGGATGAGACCGTCGCCTCACAGACTTCCTTTGGAGCGGGGGAGCTGTGTCTTTTGGAGGAGAAGGTCGGCGTTTGACTGCTTGCGAGGACCGCTCTGGTGTACAGCCCCAGGTCAGCGCCGGTGCACGCCCTCGGAGAGGTTTACCAAGTCGAGCGAGTATGATGACTTTCACACTTAAAAGTTGCATCCAGAATTCTTCGACACATCTTCCAATCTAAGGCTAGACAAGGCGTTTACGCCCTATAAAGTCTAGAATTTGCCTGCTGTGCGGCGTCGACACCTCTGGGCTGGGACCCTCTGGGCTCGCATAGAGACTGGTGGTGATGGGATCTAGAGGCTGAACAACATAATCAAATATTCCGCATCAAGCCTCCGAATCATTCTCCGGCTTAAACGAAGATACCAACATCAGCGAGTGATCGCGAAGCCTAGGGAGCTGTGCGTGCCTGTGCCCCTAATAGCTATAGGTGCTTCCGTGGGGATGCCTTTTGAAACAAAGGCTAAGCAAAGGATTTGAATTAATGGGCCTGGTCCCTGCAGCTACCTCTTTGTCAACGGGGGTTGATTCAAGGCAGTGAGGTGCTGAGGCTCTTGGGCGTCACAGGCAGTGAACAAAGGAAGGGAGACGGCAACTCTTTCACTGCCAAACACGTCTCAGTCACTGGTACGCGTATCACAACATCACAACGACACCATTTCACTGTCTCACCTGCCAACAAAGTCCGATTTCAGCATAGCGTCCAGTCCTGGCTGCCTGCACGTTCCGATTATTTATATCTCTCCTCAAGCCCTGCCCACTCTTACTCCTTCTCCTTCTCCCCCACACACAACAAATATATATATATATATTCTCTTCTTCCTGCGCTAGGCTGGGCCAAGGCGACTCCCACCATAAGGGGAATGAGAGGGAGGCAGCAACCTCCTCTCCGAAGCGAAGACCACCGGGTGCGACACTATGATGGTGAAAGGCGAACGTCAACAAGAGCATGACCATCTAGCATCAGCACCGTCAACCCCGGTCGTCATCCGGCCTTCCTGGTGCTCTCTTGCAGCAAGTCGCTTTCGCCTCCTCCACCCACATGGTGGTTCCGGTCCCTGGCTCCCGTACGTCAACCCTCCCTCTGTTCAGAACGATCCCGGTCATATGGCTGCCGCACGTCAACACTGACTCTTTACCAATTTACCATGCAAGGCACGAGACACGCTTTCATCATCCAATGGCTTACTACTATAGCCCTAGCGAAATTGGATCCGTCGATCGAGGATAAATTCTACCTAATAGGTAGCGGCGACGAAGCCTTCCAAAGCGAATGGAAATGGTCTATGAAGCAGCCAGACTTGGTTGGCTATTGCGTGGAACGAGGACGACACCGCATTCGAACTACACACTGTTGTTGAGGTTCGTGTTTCACAGTCATACGACAGTTTACTTAACGTTCGGGATTTACACTTGAGAGGCACATCCACAGTCTCCAGGTTCGTCTTGGTTAATATTGTCACGGACCCCGAGTATGGAAGCCCAAAGGGTTTGAATATCGACGAACTGAAGGATATCCGGAAAGCGGATGTCCAATTGGATTCAAACCAAGGGCCACTTTGGTATAAGAGCGTCCAATGGATAGGGAAAAGTACGCTTGTGTGGGAAGTCTGGGAGCAAGGTCCGAATAATGGAAAGCCGAAGCGGGTTTTTTCCGTAACTGTCGATCCCGACGACAACAATACCGAACTCCCATTCTTCGAGATACCCGCCACAATCGCAACAGGTATAAACACTGTGACAATTACGCCAACGGATATTAAAACGCTTTTCGCTGATCGGTTCAAACATCTAATCGTTCAAGAGGCCTACCCACGGATGTTAAGATATGTCAAGAATGTGGAAGAAAGCCGACAGTATACGGCGGATTTGGCGAGATGGAGGGACGAGGTAGACGAGCAGAGATCGAAAGTCAATGAGGCGCGTACGGAACGTTGGAGAACTCGATTCGAACGTCAAATCGTGCAGCACTTTCAGCCCTTCTATGAAGCGCGTCATCCTCTTCTCCCACTCTTCCTCGAAGGGACGTAATTCGAAGAGCCGGCCCAGAGAGAGTCGGCAGACAAGGTCAACTCAGAAGCACAAAAGATGTTAGGCGCAGAAGGACGAAGTGGACAAGAAGAGATCAAAAGCCATCGAGGAACGCATAGAGCGCTGGAATCGTGAGAATTCCGTCGATTTAGACGGTTTGGCAGCTTAATTCTCAAAATCCATGTAACTCACCTTCATTCGCATGTCTTTCCCTTTCATATCCAGCCTCTTGCTTTCCTTATCCTGTTTGATATTATAGCCGACGACGATAATATCGACCGAGTCCGGTCTCCCTACCTCATAGTCTGACCTGACAGGGGCTACATGTTTAGTTTTTCCAGAATCACCACGCCAGGATTGAAGCCACCCTCCATAAGCGCCAAAATGACATCCTCTGGGTGGCTGGCTGCCTCGAAAACACATTGCCCTGCAAACCGGCACCGAACAAATTCACCAGACACACAGCGCCTCAAAAGCACTTTGCCCTAGATGCTGGCACTGAGCGCAACAAGGGTCCGATTCTTCTTCGTTACAGTGAGAGGAGAGGTAATGGACTGCCGGTAGCCTGACTAGCAACAGTAGTGTGACCCAACTACGATAAGCCGGCCGATTGCATCAACTCCCCTTGACGCTGCTGCTACCCAAGGCGACTTCGAGCCGAGCAATATATATAAATATGAGCTATGAAGCCTGTCATGGCCTTCAAGGACAACCAGAAGAGAAAGGATAGGCACACAATGTCCTCAAGAGCAAGGATGGACACCACGGTCTACACCAGCTTTCATCTACCAACTCAAATTACCTCATTGACGTTACCTCGTCTAATACACGACGGAGGACTCTGAAATTGGCACCGCAGCCAGAAGAAATGTAGGAGAAGATATCTCTATAGAGACGACCACCAAGAGTATCGAGACCGACAGCGAGGACGGGGAGGGCCCCCACCACCATAACGCCGCTGCTCGAGGCACGTAACGACAGCCCTTGGTCCTCGACTCGAGCAGCCTGCAGCATATGCCTACGAGCGTGCGTGAG